TGACTGTTTCCCTTTGTGCTTTGCACAGTGATTTTTGTACTCCATAAATAGTGCCCGTTTAGAGATGAAGTGTTTAGGGATAATCCCCTCAGTCCTTGATACACTGTTATGATAGGTGATTCTCCTTTCAGTGGTTTTTACATTTGGAATCATGTCTAAATACGTGACATTTGAGGTATTTTTCTATAATTTGGTGTTTTTAAGGTCTCTTCCTGTTTTCTGGAGTCGGTGCTGTCAGTGCTGTGGCCTTTGGGGCGTGTCGGCTGTCGCGGGGGGCATGGGACTCCCTCGGGCGCAGGATTCAACCTCTATACTCAGATGCTCTGCTGTTTGGCTTGCTGTTGTCTGTTTTCTCTTTTTTAAATTTAAATTTAAATTTTAAATTTTAATGTATTTTTTAACTTGTTAAAATTTATTTTTATTGGAAAACCAGATATACATAGAAGAGGAGAGGCAAAGAGGAAGTTCTTCCATCTGCTGGTTCACTCCCCAAGCAACCGCAACAGCTGGAGCTGAGCCAGTTGGAAGCCAGGAGCCTCCTCTGGCTCTCCCACACGGGTGCAGGGTCCCAAGGCTTTGGCTGTCCTCGACCGCTTTTCCAGGCCACAAGCAGGGAGCTGGATGGGAAGCTGGGACACTGGGATATGAACCAGCACCCGTATGGGATCCCGGCGCATGCAAGGCGAGGACTTTAGCCACTAGGCTACCGTGCCAGGCCCCTTTTTTTAATTTAAAGATTTATTTTTAAATTTTTATTGGAAAGTCAGATATACAAATTGGAAGAGAGATGGTGAGGAAGATCTTCTGTCCTTTGATTCACTTCCCAAGTGGTTGCAATGGACAGAGCTGCCCTAATCTGAAGCCAGGAGCTAGGAGCCTCTTCAGGTCTCCCACACAAGTACAGATTCCAAGGCTTTGGACTGTCCTCAATTGCTTTCCCAGGCCACAAGCAGGAAGCTGGATGCGGCTTTGAGATTAGAACCAGCGCCCATATAGAATCCTGACACATTCAAGGCAAGGATTTCAGCTGCTAGGCTATCGCACCTGGACTGCTGTTGTCTGTTTATGCTTTAAGATAAGCCTTCTGTTTTAATGAGGTTTCAGTAGTGAAGATTTGTATTACATTGGTTCCAACTAGAAATACATACTTACATATATATACATATAAGTATACATATGCGTGCATATACTAAGATTTCTTTTATTTGAAAGGCAAAGTGACAGGCAGGGAGATGCACATACAGTTCTGTTCCGTTCATCCATTAATTCATCCCAAACACAGTAGCTGCAGACTAGGCCAGGCCGGAGCAGGAGCCAGAGACTCCGCCCAGGTCTCCCGGGTGGATGGCAGGGACACGAGCACGTGGGCCTTCATCTGTGTGCTGCATGCTGGGTCGGGAGTGTGGAGTGGCTGGAACTTGAGTGAAGAATTCTGATATGGGAATTTAGCATTCCAACAGTGTTTTTGCCAGCTGTGCCAAAACATTGACCCCTAGAGTTATATTTTTAATGGCGGTTTAACTGCAGATACACACTTAAGATTTGAAATTGATTTTATAGGAAAAAATGTACTATTTTAATTATAAATATATATGTTTTTCTTGTTTAAGAGTTGAGATGCCTAATAAAAACCTGAATTTCTTTTTGAAATGAGGTGACAATTTCAGTTTGATCCCAAGGTAAATTTCTTCATGAATGAAGTTTATTAGTATGTTTTATTTTGAGCATATTGTGTATGTTATTTTGAAATTGTGGTGCAGTTAAAATAAGAGGACACGTTGAGTGTCCCTGACTTCTAGAACAAATAATACAGCTCTTGTACCTCAGTATATTCAGTAGAGCTCGAAATGTAGTGTTATACAATTTTTATTCATTCAGAGGCTCATGCATGCACACGTGAAGTTTCCACCCACAGTTTAATTTCCAAAGCCTGCAGTAGCAGAGCGGGCAGGTGGAAGCTAAGGGGGCTAGGAATTCCGTCCGGGTCCCTCTGAATGGCAGACTCAAGCACTTTGAACCATCCATCACCTGCTTTCAACCAGGGTGCTCTTTTTTTTTTTTTTTTTTTTCAATTTATTTATTGTGATTGGAAAGGCAGATTCTTCTACTGAGAGGAGACAAAGACATAGATTCTCCACCTGTTGGCTCATTCCCCAAGTGGCTGCAATGGTTGGAGCTGAGCCCATCTGAAGACTGGAGCTCCTTAAGGGTGTCCCATGTGGGTGCAAGGTTCCAAGGCCTTGGGCCATCCTCTGCTGCCTTGGGCCACAAGCAGGGAGCTGGATGGGAAGTGGAGCATCCAGGTTACAAACTAGCACCCATATGGGATCCTCGCACATGGAAGGCAAGAATTTAGCTCAGGTGCTGGGCCCTCTTCCTGGGGTGCTTCAGCAGGAAGCTACATTGGGGAGGGAAGTAACTTAGGTGCAGACCTCAGATATATCTGGATGTCTTAACTGCTAGGCCAGTCATCTATCCCTAAGTTTCCATTGACTGGAAATTTTATTTTATATCATTTTAGAATATTCTAGCTAGAGTGAGCTAGTCAGTAGGCACCTGATTTCTTAAGAGAATTTCAACTTGTAAGGATTTATACATATATGCTCTGTGTGTGTGTAATATATATCTAATTGTACTAACTTTAAGGAGCATCCAGTTTTCCTTTTGCTTCATAGTATACATTGAAACTGTCAGCTGAAAACTCAAAAACAATCCGCCTTTTTAAAAAAGAAGTAACCTAAGGAAATGCAAGTATATGTGGGTGACTTAGTTGATTATTATTATTTGTACATTGAGTTTTTGCAGATAAAATTTAGCATTCCAGAAGTGTTGTTGTAGCATCTCTGAACATTCAGGGGAATGCATGGAGTAACAAAACAATCTGAGATGACTGATGCACACGTTTCTCATTCAGATGGAAAAGCTTTGCTTTCTTGTCCAAGTTCTTATGTTATAAACAAGTGTTCATTTTGCAGTCTACTTAATGCCTTAGTTCTAGGTTTTTGCATTTTAATATTTATCTCGCCACTTAACCCAGCTGCCAGATGTAGTGCTATAATGCTGTAGAGTACAAAATAGCAATGATACGCCTTCAGAGAAGAGTGTGTGCTCCATAACTGGCTGATTTCTGAGTTCAGTGTTAATCCGTTAGCAGTCCACACTTAATAATACAAAAGATAATTGCAAACAGAAATACAATAAAATAAGGTCATATGTTGATTAAAGATCCTAATAATGTATTTTTTTCTTCAGGAACAGTGGTTTAATATTCAGTAATTTAATGTTTATGATGACTTAAAAAATAACTGCTGTGAATAATAGTGTGTTTATGTATAAATGAGTTGGGTAGGTATAGCATTTGTCTGATTAATTCATTGAATAAAATAGATTCTAGCACATCCATCTTTGTTTTTAAGAGTCTAGATGTCTTTTTTCTTTCACTTGTTGTGCCATGAATTCATAGGGGATGGGCTCCGGCAGCTCCGGTTCCTTCCTGTTGTTTCTGATGAAGTGGGCTTCTCTGGGTGGAGTGGGCTGGCGCTTTAGCAGAACCCAGCTGTGCCTTTCTCTTTGGCTCCTTTCTTTTACTGATTAATTTCCTTCACTCATTTCAGGAAACTATCTGGACTCTTAGTGTTTAATAAGCTCAGTACACACATTTATTCTCTTGGCAAGAATCTTGTCCTTGTTTGTTTACAACAGTGCCAACAGATGCTGGGTAACATTGTGGACTCTTCCAGTTTTGCCATGGTAACATTTTAACAACAGATCTAGTATACCTTATTAGCAGTTTTATAAATTGTATAGTAACTGATTTGTTCTGAAATAAAAGTATATTTGGGTGCAGTTAAAAGGGTTGTTTACCCGGCACAAAGGCTCAATTGGCTAAACCTCTTTTTGCAAGCGCTGGGATCCCATAAGGACACCAGTTCGTTTCCCAGCTATTTCACTTCCCACCAGCCACTGCGGCCATTTGGGGAGTGAATCAGTGGATTGATGATGTTTCTGTCTCTACTTCTTTCTGTAAACCTGCATTTCCAATAAAAACAATTTTTTTTTAAAGTATTGGTTAGGACACTGACACGATGTCTATTGGTTGAAGTCATTGTTGAATGCGCCGGGGTCACCTATGGATCCCGGCAGCCCTGCTTCCCATCCAGCTTGCTTTTGTGGCCTGGGAAAGCAGTCGAAGACAGCCCAAGGCCTTGGGAACCTATACCCACATGGGAGACCCGGAAGAGGCTCCAGGTTCCTGGCTTTGGATCCGTTCAGCTCCAGCCATTGTGGTCACTTGGGGAGTGAACCATTGGAGGGAAGATCTTCCTCTCTGTCTCTCCTCTTTGTGTATCTGCCTTGCTTTCCAATAAAAATAAATAATTTTTTTAAAGTGTTGGTTAGTACTTTTTGTCAAAGCTTTTTAGTTTTATGTTTTTATTGTGTTCTTATTTATGGTTTTGGGCCTGGCGTGATGGCTCAATGGCTAAATCTTAGCGTTGCATACAGTAGAATCCCATTTGGGTGCCAGTTTGTGTCCCAGCTGCTCCACTTTCCATCCCCCTCCTTGCTTGTTGCCTGGGAACAGTAAGATGGCTTAAAGCCTTGGAACCGGAACCTGCACCTGCACGGGAAACCCAGGGAATCTCCAGCTGTTGCAGCCACCTGGGGAGTGGACCAGCAGATGGAAGTTTATCTCTCCTTTGCTCTGTAAAATCTGACTTTCCAATAAAAATAAAATACATTTTTAAAAAAATATGTTTATGATTTTAACCTTTTAAAATATGTAGCTCATTGGCTTAAATACACTGACATTTTTCTTCTTTTTTAAGTAGGATTATGCATCTATGAGCTTATTACTGAATTTAAGAAGCCATTACCATTTATATAGGATTTGCAATATAATTTAGATTAAGAATTTAATAAGTAGATTATGTCGTAGTGCTGTGCAGTAGTTTATTATTTATTTGCAATTGCTATGCATTTAAATCCATCTCTCTTTCCAGTGCTTTTTTAGGACCAAAGGATATTTTTCCATACTCGGAGAATAAGGAAAAGTATGGCAAACCAAACAAACGAAAAGGTTTTAATGAAGGTTTATGGGAAATAGATAACAATCCCAAAGTGAAATTTTCAAGTCAACAGGTGAGTCATATTACATAAAATTTAGTATTGTATTTTTTATGTTACAAAATACTCACTACCCTAACTTTAGAGCAAACTCAGGTTAAATTGTGTTTTTACTTGTGGGGTTGAACCTTGACCTTTTATACGTATGTAGATGATTGATAAATTTATTACTTACATGGCTAAACAGTTTAAAGCAGAACCAGGAACAGTCAGTTAATGTACTTACTGATTGAGCATTTACTACTTAGCACATCACGGAGGGACAAAGTGAGCTCCCTTGTGCTGGGTCCTTCCCCAAAGGCCCGCAGGTGCCTGGGCTGCACTGGAGCCAGGAGCTCACTCTAGGTCTCCCAAAGTGTGCAGGGACCACCTTTCTGAGCAACACTGTTGGCATCCCAGAGTGTGTGCCGACAGGAACCTGGGAGCAGGACAGCTCCACGACCCACACCCTGTGTTAGGGAATGTGGGAGAATGAATCCAGATCAGACTCCTGTTCTGTATATTGCTGAATTTAAAACTGTGTGCACAGTGCTCGCCACCTTAACTCATATTCAGGGTTTGTAATTTGTAAGGCATGTGCTTCAGTTTTCTTATTTTAATTTTTCAGTGCGTAGTCTGAACCTCATATAGGTTAAGTTCAGTGTACAGAAGTACTTATCAAAATTGTGCAAATTATATATACCACATGAACAGTGGCAGAGTTAGACTTGCTCTATATTTGTGTGTCTGGAGGTTTTGTTCATGTGTATGTGACACTTAAGTTCTTCATGGAGTGATTTGTTTGTACAAACAAAAAAAAAAAACAGTTTGCATCATTTTTTTTCTACACTGCAAAAGTTACTGTTTATCTTTCTGTCTTCTGGTGTTTACTAACAGTTTTAATCTATGTCAGTTGGCACACTTGAGTTCTGTCCCAGAACTCTTGACTTAAACTACCAAGGTTTTAGAATAGGACCAGGGAGCTGTGAGAAGAGATCTTGATAAAGATAGCCTGTTGGTTTTTCTTTTATCATCATTATAAATACTTTTATTAAGACTTGAGTGTTCAGAAGCTAGAGAGAATGAGCTACCTAAAGAAAGAGGTAGTGGCCAATAGGAAATTCTGTATTAGAAATTCATGTATTTGAAAGTTAGATTTTTACAGAGAGAGGGTTTTTTATTTTTATTTTACAGAGAGAGGGTCTTCCAAATGCTGATTTCACTCCCCAGATGACTGCACTGGCCAGAGCTGCACTAATTTGAAGCTGGGAACCAGGAGCTTCTTCTGGGTCTCCCATTTGCGTCCCCCATGTGGGTACATCCTCTGCTGCTTTCCTAGGCCATGAATAGGGAGGTGGATTGGAAGTGGAGCAGCTGGGACATGAGCCTGTACCCATGTAGGATGCTGGTGCTGCAGGTGGAGGATTAGTCAGTTGAGCTAATGTACTGGCCACACAACTTCTAACTTTTTTTTTTTTTTAAGATTTTTATTTGAAAGACAGAGTCACAGAAGGGATTTCTGTAACTTTTGTAAGTTCTTCCTAAGGGTTGTGTTTTTCTCACCTGTGGAAGCTGTTGAGATGGCTCTTTTTCCTGGAATATCAAATCTTGGATCCTCTAAGGGTGCGGTTGCATGCCTTTTACTGCCTTTGTCCTTATCAGTAAATGCCACAGATGGTCATTTCACTTCCAGGTATAAAAAATGCTATTTCAAGTACACATGAAGAATAGATACTAACTATGTGCTAAGTGGATGCTATTTCCCATGGTGGCCTTGACAATGTAAAGGGAGGCCATCAGTCTAAATGGAACATGTTCTTTGGCTCAGCTCAGCTCTGCTCTTGTGGCCATTTTGGGAATGAATCAGTGGATGGAAGATCTTTCTTTCTCTCCCTCTCTGTAAATCTGATCTGCCTTTCCAATAAAGATAGGTAAATCTTAGAAAAACATTAAGAATGGCATATTTGAAAAGAAAGAAATAAAGAGTAGAACTCCGAAATTTAAGCATCTACCCATAACTTAAGGTACTTTTTAAAATTTAGCATTGATCGGGCCCAGTTTGATGGCTCCATTGCTAAATCCTCACCTTGCAAGTGCCGGGATCCCATATGGGGGACTGGGTTGTGTCCTGGCTGCCCTGCTTCCCATCCAGCTCCCTGCTTTTGGCCTGGGAAAGCAGAGGAGGATAGGCCAAAGCCTTGGGAACCTGTACCCGCGTGGGAGACCCAGAAGAAGCTCCTGGTGTCTTGCTTCAGATTAGGTCAGCTCCAGTTGTTGTGGCACCTTGGGCAGTGACTCAGGGAATAGATCTTTTCTCTCCTCTGTAAATCTGCCATTTCAATAAAAATAAATCTTTTTAAAAAATTAGCGATGATTGCTCGACTTAGTAGCTGTTATGAGAATCATTATGTTTGGGTTTTAAATGAACTGGGTTTTAGGCAGAAAGTCCAAGTCTTACACTTTGTACAGGAATACAATCCTTTATGATTTAAATAGCAGCACTTAAAATTATTTTTAAATTATACATATTCACAGTGTCCTGTGGAATAGAAATTGGGGTACTTCTGTAACTTGTGAACAGTCTTTTATGATTAGAAAATTTTAGAGTTGAAGTATAAGTTTGTGAAAATTGATTGAGTTGCTGTCTTACAGGCATCGGCTAAACAGTCAAATGCCTCATCCGATGTTGAAGCTGAAGAAAAAGAAACCAGTGTTTCAAAGGAAGATACTGATCATGACGAAAAAGCCAGTAATGAGGTATGTGTTCTTTCTCTTTCCCTCTAAACCCATTTTGCCACAAGGAAGAACTTGTGAAGTGAGTTGACTCTGGTCATGTTTTTTAGTTATTTGAGAAGTGTATAGACAGCAAGTACAGTTTGCTGATGGATTCCCCGAACTCCTGCACTGACCAGGGCCAGTCCTGAGTTGGAACCTGCAGCTGGGATTACAGGTTGTCTTTGTGGGTGGCAGAAACCACATCATTTGACCCATCACTGCCATCTTTTGGGCTTTTTGGGGTAGAAACAGGACAGAGGAGCCAGAGCCTGGGAGCCAGGTGAGTTTACTCAGAAACAGGATGTGCATGTATCAACCATGAGGCTAAATATCTGCTGCTGCTTTAAAGGACATCGAAAATGAATGAGGAAGTACTTAAAGTTCACATCAAGGCATGGGTGTTGTGTTTGAAATTATAAAGTTTAAAACGTGAGCCTTTGGGCCAGTATCATGGGATAAGTCACCTACCTGCAATACCAGCATTCCAATTGTGTGCAGGTTCAAGTCCTGGCTGTTTCGCTTCTAAAGTCACTCCCTGCTAATATGCTAATGTTCCTGGGAAAACAGCAGGAGGTGGCCCAAACGCTTGGACCCCTGACCCCACATGGAAGATGATGTGGAGTTCTGTGTTGCTGTCATTTAGGTGTGAAACAGAGAATGAAGATCTCTCTCTTTCTTCACCTTACTCCCTCCTTACTTGCCTTTCAGATAAATCAATAACTAAAACATGAGGTCCTACTATGGGGTGGATTACTGTTAGGAATATTATTAAGTTTTATGTTTGAGAGACTCCACCTGCTGACTCGCTCTCAAATGCCCGCAGTTGTTGGGGCTCGGCTGTGCGGCTGCTGGGAGCCTGAACTTTGCCTCTGCCTCCCAGGTGCTGGAGCCATTATCTGCTGCCCACATTAGCAGGCAGCCTGAAACATGCAGAGCTGGGCCTGGAACCCAGACACCCTAGTGTTGGAGGCAGATGTCAGGCTAATGCCGTAACCACTGTACTATACAAGTACCTGTGTTTAAATTTAAAGTTTTATGTTTATTTGAAAGGTGGAGTAGCAGAGAAAGACAAGAGATAACCCTGACCTTTGCACCAGTTAGGGAGTGAATCAGGGCTGAGTGAGGCTGAAGAAGGAGGCTGCACTCCCTCTGGGTCTCCCGCATAGATGGCTGGGCCCCATGCACTTGAGCCATCTGCTGCTGCTTTCCCAGACACATTAGCAGGGAGCTGGGTCAGAAGTGGAGCAGCCAGGACTCGAACAAGCACTCTTCTGGGATTTGGTGATCGCAGGTGCTTAATCGAGTCTGCTGGGCCTACATCTCCCCATCTTAGACAGCTGCTATGGATAAATATGTTAGAAAGAGCATTGTACTGAATTGTCTTTAAACCTAGTAGCCTTGTAGCTGATTATGGAAATGCCAAGACTTTAAATGTTTACGATTTCCCAGGTCAGAGAAGCAAAGCAATTACCCCAGTGCTTTTGGTAAAACATGCTTGCGAATGTCAGTTTTAAAAAGTCTCCCTCAAAACTTGGAATAATTGATCTAGTATTATTGGTATTTATTTTTGTTTTTCAGGATGTGACAAAAGGGACTGACATGACCACTCCCAAAGCTGCTAGGAGAGGGAGAAAGAGAAAGGTACTTTCAATGATTAACCACAGGGTCCTTACTTGAATTTTGATTTTTATTAGCATTAAAGAATAATCAGGACAATGAAACTTTACTTAACTTCACCTTTACTCTAAACCATTTACTTTTTTAAAGATTATGGTTTTTAGTTAGCAGAACTGTTTGTGTTTCTCAGAGACTCTTCCTCCGTGTTCCTTGTAAAATAGATAGTAATACATGCTTAACAGTTGAAAAATGAAGTGATATGAACACATGTAAAATGTTTATAGATCTGCTTTCTAAACCTGGATAAATACTGTGTCAGTGTTGACTGTTACGGTGTTTGTGGCATCACTGTGTGATGTCAGTGTGGGACCAGATGGCTGCTGTGCTTTTCAGTAATGTGAGTGTCCTTCGTTCCCTGTGTGAGCCTCTGCCCACACCTGTTTCCATCCTGGTAATGCCTCTGTTATGTACCAACATACAAATAAAATCGTGACTTCAGCATCTCATAAGGAAGTGGAATTCAAAAAATAGAGTGGTTTTGTATCCTTTGTGGATTATGTTTGGGCAGAAAAGGGATCATTTTAACAAGATTTTAAAATAGAGGCAAGATTTTGTCAGGCAGATAAAGGAGGGGGAGACTGGTGAGGCTATTTGTATAAATGGACGCATACATAAAATTCAGGCCTTTTTTGTAATGAATGTCAGTATTACCAGACCATAATCTTTGAGGTGTGAAATGTATGATCATGAAGAACTGAAATATACAAATGTAGGAATCGGTTGTTTTAAAATTAGATGCCTCCCTTTAATTTGTTTTATGTATCTTTTCAATGAGACTACTTCATAAAAATTATTTGAAAGGCAGAGAGAGCCTGTGCACTGGTTCACCCCTGAAATGCCTGCCGTTTCTTTGGGACCAGATCCTGAGTCGTCAGCATTGCCTCCCGTGATGCGCATTCCCCAGGCAGACTGAGTCAGGAGCAGCTGCAGGAATGGAGTGAGCCCCATGTGCCCATAAGGAACACAGATGTCTTAAATGGCATCCAGATCTCTGAGCCATCTCCCACTGTCTTTCTAGGTAGAAAAAGGTGGGAGCGAGGGTAGAGTGGAATAGCCAGGACTTGATCCAGTTCTGCAGATTGGATGCCAGCATGGCGGGTGGTGACTTCAGCCTCTGTAGCACAGCACCAGCCCTGTGCCATTTTAAAAGCAATTGGATGACAGCGATTGGATTGGGGCTGCAAGACTGACTCCATGAAAACTTCAGAATTTTAGTACTTCCTGTTTGGGGTCAGGCATGGCATTGAGCAGCAAATAGAGATGACATGGGCTATGTTTTCTTGAAAAGTGATTTCTATTGAGACAAATATGTGAAGCATGAAAGCTACAACAGTGAAGATAGTTGACAACCAATGAGGTGGAGAGAACCTCTGGAAGGTATTGACTTGAGAGTGGAGGATCGGGTTTTCCAGTAGTGCAGGAGAGGGGAGAGCGCTGGTGGTTAAGTTGATGGCTGATGGAAGTAAAGGGAGAGGGGCGTGGTCTAATGTGGCTTGACCAGACGCGATCCTGGGGATGGAGAAGTTAGTCTGGAATCAACCTTGTGGAGGAGGAAGCCAAGTGTCTGGGACTGGACTCCTTTGGAACCAAAGGGAGAAAAGATGTTGACGAAGCGATCCCTAGTATAAAGATGAGTGAAGCCAAAGAGGAGTATGCTGATAAAAAGGGATAAATCAAAATCCTGAGGGAATACAGCAGAGAGCCTGGGTGGGGTGTGAGGTGGGCAGGCCCAGGAGGAGGGTGAGCAGGAGCCAGGGATGGGAAAGGCGTGCCAGTCAGGATTGAGAACAGAAGCCAGAGAAGTATGTCGGACAGAATGTGTTGTGGTGAAGTTACACACACCATGCTGTTGAAACGTGAAGGGAAAGACTGCAGCTGTGGCCATTTAGCATGTTTGTGTGGGCAAGGGGAAGTGCTAAAACATGAAACATGAGTTCCTTTATCTTAACGCTTTTCTGTTTATAAAAGTAGGAGAGAGTAAAGACGTGGAAAGAGTCAGAGTTATTGGTGTGTGCTGAATGAGAGAAGGAAGGACACACTCGAGGGTCTTGGTGCAGCCTTTCTCATGTTGCAAGGAAGGCTGGAGGAGACTCAGGGTTACAAAGAGAGTTGGGACTCTGGGAATTCTTCTGACTGGCTTCTCTTCCCTCGCCCCTGTAGGTAGGGGGCAGGGTTACTCGGGACCTGATTAAAGGGTGTAATGAATGGCTTTGAGAGTCCAATGGAAGAGCATATGCAGTGAATGCCTGTTAGATATAGTGTGTCTCCCATTAGGGCCCAGCTGCTAGGAATAATAATGTAAGAGAACGGTAGTGATCCTCTTGTGGATTTGTGGGACTGCAGCAGAATGCATAGGAATAGCGGTCCTCTGACATTTCTGTTGGAGGACAGCTTTCAGTGTGATGGGGGAAACAGCTAGAATGTGGGGAGACAGAGGCTTCCAGGCCTCAGCAAGATCCTCTAGAATATGGAAGAAGTGAATATGTAGTCAAGTATTTTTATTTAAGACTTTAGATATTTGTATGTTTTCGTTTCATAATCTTTGCTTTATTAGGAGTACACGGTTCAGTAGAGTTTACTATTTGCCTAAATTAATGTATTTTGTTTATTGTTGTTAATCTTACTATCTCTGACTGGTGTCTCCATTTCTGTTCTGCTTCTAATTCTTTTATGTCTTATTTCCACAAGCAGGAAGTGTAAGTGAAGAGGTTTTCTTGTCCCGAAGACCACGTTAGTTTGAATTGAATTTTACAGAATGGCTGTCTTCTGTACACCTTAATCAGAAAAGAGCTCTTTTTCCCCCCAGATTTCTTTGCATTTATTTATTTTTATTGGAAAGGCATATATACAGAAAGGAGGAAAGACAGAGAGGAAGATCTTCCCTCCGATGGTTCACTCCCTAAGCGGCTGCAGTGGCTGGAGCTGAGCTGATCCTAAGCCAGGAGTCTGGAGCATCTTCCAGGTCTTCCATACGGGTGCAGGAACCCAATACCTTGGGCTGTCTTCGACTGCTTTCCCAGGCCACAAGCAGGGAGCAGGATGGGAAGTGGGGCTACTCGGATTAGAACTGGTGCCCATGTGGGATCCCAGTGTGTTCAAGGCGAGGACTTAGATGCTAGGCTATCGCTATTGCTATTGTGCTAGACCCAGAAAAGAGCTCTTTTTTTTTTTTTTAAGATTTATTTATTTTTATTAGAAAGTCAGATATACAGAGAGGAAGAGAGATAGAGAGGAAGATCTTCCCTCTGATGATTCACTCCCCATGTGAGAGCAACGGCTGGTGCTGTGCCAATCCGAAGCCAGGTACCAGGAACTTCCTCCAGGTCTCCCATGCAGGTGCAGGGTCACAAAGCATTGGGCCGTCCTCAACTGCTTTCCCAGGCCACAAGCAGGGAGCTGGTTGGGAAGTGGAGCTGCCAGGATTAGAACTGGTGCTCATATGGGATCCTGGTGCTTTCAAGGTGAGGACTTTAGCCGCTAGGCCACAGTGCCGGGCCCGAAATGAGCTCTTAAAGCTGTTTTCAACCTTGGATATCTGTGGAGCTTTGTGTAAACACAGGTGCCTGGATCCCTGCTGAGTAAGGGTTGGGGCAGGGTTGGTTCAAGTGTAGGTTCTTAAAATTCTGAAAAGACAGCCTAAGCTAATGTTCCAGAAGCAGTTTTTATAGATTTTGCTGAGAGCAATTCAAGGGTTACCTGATAGTACTTTGAATATACATTATTATATTTATAAAACTAGTAATCACATTTCACAAACAAGAAATGGATAAGTTTTTTGTTCAAATCTGACTCTCCTATTCCACTTTTTTGTTGCCGCTGTTCAAAGTAGTACTTTATTTAAATGATAATATTAGTTTATTGATCACTCATAATCAGTACATGATATTTTACAGGTTTCGGACATGAAGTTAGCAGATCCAGATTGTTGATTTTAATTTTTTAACCAATGAGACCGGATTTCTGAATGCTTTAGTTTTCTTGATACAGTTAAGGCTGAATTTTCAGCAGTCAGGATGTGGGACAGCAGCTCTTGGTGGTCCTTCTGTTCTCTGCTCTCCAGGTTCTTCACTCCCTAGAGTTGGCATCTACTACTGCCTCCTGTCTGTGTCCCTTATGGTGGTTCTTCACCTTTGCTCCCTTGTAATTCATAAATTAGTAACATGAATTCATCCATTCTCTTTGGAACAGTTGTTCAGTACAGTTGTACAGTAACGTATCCAGGAACATTATAGCTCACAAAGGATTCTTGATTCTCTGCTATAGTCAGTCCCTCTTTCTGAAAAATGCTTTATGGAGTGCATCAGATACCAGTCTGAGTTCAAAGTGAAACTTGTATGTACTGATAAAGTTACTAAACTAGAAATAACAATGTGTGTCTTGTTACAGCCTAATTGCATAATATTCCAAATACTGAATTAAGGTGTATTTATTTAAAAAACAGAAGTATCAGATTGATCTATCTATTGGTTCATTCCCAAAATGACCCCAACAGCCCAGGGCTGAGCCAAGCCAGAGCCAGGAGCTTCTGGGCCTCTCATGTATGTACTGGGGCCCAGATCCTTCGGCCCTGTTCCACTGTCCTCCCAGGTACATAAACAGGGAGCTGGATCTGAAGTGGAACAACTGAGACTTCAGTCGGCATACATACGAGATGCTGGCACTGTATGTGGAGGCTTCAACTGCTGTTACAACACTGGCTCAAGAAGAATGGATTTGAGTTCAGGATTTTCTTTCCTAGCTTGGCTTCCTGTTACTGCATCCTGGGAAGGTATTGATCCAAATGCTTGAGATTGTACCCCCATGTGGAGATCCTGGCTCCCGCCTGTGGCCTGTCCCAGCTCTGGCTGTTGCAGCCATTTGGGGAGTGTACCAGTGGGTGGGAGGTTACCCTCCTTCCTCTTCGCCTCTCCCATCCCTCCTTCTCCATGTTCTTAGCCCTGGTGGTAGCTGTTTGGCCTAGAAATTATTACTCTCATGTCCTGAATCAGAGGCCCTGCATTCAGTGCTGGTTGGCCCCTGACTCTAGCTTCTGCTAATCCAGGCTGTGCAGACAAGCAGTGGCTGTCCAGGTCATTGCATTCCTGCCACCCACACAGGAGCTGTGGACTGTGTTCCTGGGCTTGACCTGACCAGTCTATTTCAGGTTATTTGGGGAATGAAGCAGCAGATGAAAGATTTGTGTCTCTGCCTTTTAAATAAACAATTAAAATATATATATTGGTTTTATATTTACAAATGATTTTTAAAACTGATTTACTAGTGTTTCAACCCAGGTCTGAAGATGTTGCTGTGATGATCTTAATTGCTAAAAACAAAGATCTTATCGAAGTTACGTTTGTGTATAAACTCATGTTGCAGACTGACATGTTTTTGCCATTGAATTAAATTTTGCCTATTCTAAATTTTTGTGATTCAGGCAGAAAAACCAGTAGAAAGTGAGGAGGCAGGAGTAGTTTCAACAGCAACAGCAGCATCTGGAAATGTAAAAGTGAGTCCCAAAAGAGGACGGCCTGCAGGTAGGATAAGTAATGTTAGTCTTTATTTGATGTATAGTTACTGTAGCATTCTGTTACTGTATTTTGGAATAAAGTAGATGGGCAATTTATTATGTGTAACAGAATTCAAAGGAGATAAACGGTGGATTCTGCTGTGTAAATAAAGTATTTAACTGTGAAGTAACTAATTCTTCGCTTTGTCTGTTGGTGTTTCCTCCAGACAGTAGCAGGTGAGGCTGGTGTGATTGTTGAGATTACAGTGAACAATAGGTTTAACCAGTCTCTTCAGGCGACCCTGTTGGCTAGGATGTTTTTAATATGCAGGTTCTCTTCAGTATTGCATAAAATTTTCTTAATTTGGCAAGTTGGAAGTGTTTTGGAAGCATATTCCTAATAAAAAGTGAAGCAAAATAAAGCCAGCTTCTTTTCTATTCACAGTAGAATTCTAGTTCAAAGCAGAAAAACAGAATTGAAAATGTATTCACATAATATTTGTGATGTAAAACTATCTTGGATCAAATTAATGATAGAAAACTCAGTAAATTCCATTCAAACTTACAAAGATAGGTATACATATTAACCTTCAGTTTTATGGCTTTCCTTTCACAATAGAGTAGAAAATATTTTAAGTCCTTTTAGCCATACTTACTGAGGACAAATTGAAAATTACCCGGTTGGTTGTTTGTTTAAATTTTTTTGCTGTTACTAATTTGATCTGTGAAGGGAGGTACTATTTTTTTTATTTATGAGTGTATCTGCATTAAGGCACTGAAGTTCATATTTATTTGTGTCATTTATATTATTTTTATATGAGGTTTGCACCTTAAGGACAAGCTGGTAACCGTGATTTCTCCCCCCCTCCTATGAATACTAGCTGCTGAAGTCAAGATTCCAAAGCCGAGAGGCAGACCTAAAATGGTGAAACAGCCCTGCCCATCAGAGGCTGACATGTGAGTTTATTTTTTGTAATTAGTTATGCAATAAATGAGACATTTCACTTCTAACAAGCATATCTTTATATTTTCATCAGTTTTGTTTGACATGATGCTAAAATGCTGGCATTATTGATACTTCTAATAATGGGAAAAAAATTGAAAAATTTTAGCAAATCAAAAATTGTAATGGAGCGAAGTTGCTTTATTACTCTAATTGATGTTTTCTTACCATACAAGATACAAGAATATTTGGATAATGTGTGCTTACATCTATATTGGGGAAATAAGGCAAAATAATATTTTTTAGTAACTTAAATAGTATATATATTTAAAGTGATAAAATTTTAGCTTCTTCAGTGTAGGTAGGTGCTTTATTTGGAAAGTACTGTTAAAATTATTTGGATAATGTGAATTTAATGTTTTGGAGCAGTTAGGATGATAAAGTTAACAAAAAGTGAGATTTCCCCCCCTCTCCCCCAACCCACCATCTTTTCTGTTCAAAGACCTTGGTTCCTTTTCCACGGAACCAACCTTCACCAGAAGGTTGAGACAAATTTTTTTGTGTGTCTGTGATGTTTAAGGACTTGGAGTTGGAAGCTCAAGTAAATATCTGATTAAGAACTGAGATAAAGTATTTTGAATGCACTGACTTACAGGAAATTTTTATTATAGAAAACTATAGCAAGTTTAACATCTTTTCCTTTTTTTAAAGATTTATTTTATTGGGAAGTCAGATGTACAGAGAGGAGGAGAGACAGAGGGGAAGATCTTCCATCCGATGGTTCATTCCCCAAGTGACCGCAATGGCTCGTGCTGAGCCGATCTGAAGCCAGAATCCTGGAGCCTCTTTGGGTCTCCCACGTGGGTGCAGGGTCCCAAGGCTTTGGGCCATCCTCAACTGCTTTCCCAGGCCACAAGCAGGGAACTGGATGGGAAATGGGCAGCCAGGATTACAACTGGCGCCCATATGGCATCCGGGCGCATGCAAGGCAAGGACTTTAGATGTTTGAGATTTCTCCTAAGTTTGGGAGTTTGCCAGCATCTTGGAGATGAGGACTGCTTGAATCTTGGTTTACTCGGCCTGTATATTCTAGTCCATTTGCTGTTGTATTTTTGCTGATTCCCCTGGAAGTTGTTAAGTTTTGACCATTATTCTCATTGGGAAATACTTCCCTTTCTTATCAGCTGAGCCGCTTTCTCAGTTTGTTTTCAGAATACAAAGATGGGGGGACCCAGCATCCCCTTTTAAAAGCCACTTGTTTCTCTTCATGCAGTGTGTTGTCACTTCTGGTAATATATTACTTTATTTGGTGTCTAGTCAGTTTCTTTTTTCTTTATTTGTTTAAGATTTATATTTATTGGAAAGGCAGACCAGATTTATGGAGAGGAAATACAGTCTTCCATCCACTGGTTCACTCCTGAAATGGCCAAAATGGCTGGAGTTGAACTGATCTGGAGCCAGAAGTTTCTTTAGGTCTCTTGTGTAGGTCCAGCTTCCAAAGGCTTTGGGTCATCCTGTGCTGCAAATTTCATGAAATTCGTTAGTGACAGAGTTTTTTAAAATATTATTAGCATTAGGTATTCAAAGTCAGAGTTTTAAAATGGCTTGGCAGGGCCCGGCACGATGGTGTAGTGGTTAAGGTCCTTGCCTTGCATGCCCAGGATGCCATATGGGCACCAGTTCTATCCCGGCAGCCCCACTTCCCTTCTAGCTCCCTGCCTGTGGCCCGGGAAAGCAGTCGAGGACGGCCCAGGGCTTTGGGACCCTGCACCCACGTGTGGGATGCCTGGAAGAGGCTCCTGGCTTTGGACCGGCATAGTATCGGCCGTTGCGCTCACTTAGGGAGTGAACCATGGGACGGAAGATCTTCCTCTCTGTCTCTCCTCTCTGTATATCCGCCTTTCCAATGAAAAAAAAAATGGCTTGGCAGAGCTTCAATATTTGTAGATATTGCTTTGGTTCAGTATACAGACCATGAGATTGGCTAAAACAGTATTGCCCAGTCATAGGGTATTGAAACAGTTTAGGCACTTTTACTTGTTTGAGCAATGCCAGTGAAATCTGTTGGTGACAGCAATACTTAGGCGCGAGGCAGTTAAGTAGTGTCTGACACTGTGTTTACTGGATTGTATACTTACCTAACACAAGAGTATTTTGGCAGGTTCATTGACAATGCAGGCAAAATATTAAGTTTTATTTTGGTGCCTAAACATTATAAAATCTGTGCTGACAAAGGGACTTGAAAAAATTCATGGAAATATATATTTTAAAACAAATTTCAAAATTCTTTTTGTACTGGGCCTAGAGTGGTAGTTTAGCATCTAAAGTCCTCGCCTTGCATGTGCCAGAATCCCATATGGGTACTGTTTCTAATCCTGGCAGCCCCATTTCCCATCTAGCTCCCTTTTTGTGGCCTGGGAAAGTAGTCGAGGATGGCCCAAAGCCTTGAGTCTTGCATCCTTGTTGGAGACCCAGAAGAAGTTCCTGGATCCTGGCTTCAGATTTGCTCCGCTCCAGCCATTGCGGGCACTTGGGGAGTGAATCAATGGACAGAAGATCTTCCTCTCTTTCTCTCCTCCTCTCTGTATATATGACTTTCCACTTAAAAAGAAGTAGTGCCTTTAAAAAAGCACTTTTTGCACCAAAATAAACATTTTTTGATATATTCTCATGTAAAAGTTGGGTCCCTTTCACACTGCAAAGATGATTTCTTTTAGTTCTAAAATGATGATGTTTTAAATTTGTGTTTAAATAAAAATGATGTTTACATTATTGGACTTTCCTAAATAGGATTCTTGAGGAAGACAAAAATAAGAAAAAGGGGCAAGAAGAAAAGCCACCTAAAAAGCAGCTTAAAAAGGAAGAGGAGGGCCAGAAGGAAGAGGATAAGCCACGAAAAGAGCCGGACAAAAAAGAGGGGAAGAAAGAAGTTGAATCAAAACGGAAAAGTTTAGCTAAACCAGCGGTCACATTCACCTTTGATTCTGAAGAAGAAGGAGGAGATGACCAAGATGGTGAAAAGGTAAAGTTTACGTAACATGTAAAAATACTGCTTTGTTTTAAATTTATTTTTTCATAATTATTATGCTTTGCCTCCTAAGCTTTCAGTATTTCTGTGTCTAAGTCTGAGTAGATTTATTAGAGTTAAGATTAAATTCAGTCTGAGTAGATTTGAATTGGTTGTGTTAAAACGGTTATTTGGGAGTGGGACATTTGGCCTTGCTATAATGACATGGTGAAGATGTCTGTGACCCATAATGTGACCTGGGTCAAGTCCCATCCTGCACTTGGCTCCTGATTGGAAACCTTTGGTTAGTGTTGGGTCCCTGACATTCAGGACCCATTGAGGGCATTTGGGCAGTAAACCATTGATGGGAACTCTCCTTTTTTCTGTCTTCTCTGCCTCTTGAATAAACCTGAAATATCATTTTAAAAATTTTGCTATATTGTCTGTCCTAAATTCATTTGATGTTTTTACATATACTTAAAATAATCCACCTATCAAGAAAGTTGGTTATGACTTTTGCAGATTTATTCTGAAAGTAATTTGGTGGTAAATAACTTTTTACTTTTGGAAATATTTATTTGTTTCTATCAAAGGCAATTTAGAGAGAGAAGACAAGGATCTTTAATCTGATGGTTCACTCCCCCAGTGGCTGCAATGGCTGGAGCTGAGTCTGTCAGGAGCCAGGAACTTCTTCCTGGTCTCCCATGTGAGTGCAGGATCCTAAGGCTTTGGGCCATCCTCGACTGCTTTCCCAGGCCATAAGCTGTTTGGAAAGTGCAGCAGCTGGGACTGAACTGGTGCCCATATGGGATTCTGGCGCGTTCAAAGCGAGTATTTAGCCAGTAGGCCATCGTGCCAGGCCAGTGTAATTTTCTAATTACTAAATTTTAAGGTTTTGGTCCTTAAACTAGCTGTGTTTTTCTCCTAAGACTTGATAGCTTACTGAATCCATTCTAATTCTTACATAAAACAGAAGAGAAAAGGTGGAAGAAACTTTCAGACTGCACACAGAAGGAATATGCTCAAAGGCCAACATGAGAAGGAAGCAGATCGAAAACGCAAGCAGGAGGAACAAATGGAAACTGAGCAGTAAGTATTCCTTCATTACAAATTTTGAACTTGTTTTAAAGCTAGCATGAAATTTTTAAACAATAGATTTTCATTTTCCAGCCTACAATGAAGCCTTTTGAAGAAGTAATTTTTCCAATTTAATAGAAAAAAATCTTCGGTGTACAATGGTTATCTTATTCTGGGCTTCATTCTTTTCTGAGTAAGGGATGACAATCACCCTGTAAATTACTTTAAACTGAATGTGAAGTGACTTACTGTTAGTGGCTTTGCAGAAAATGTATTTATCCTCTTTTTATTTGTATAATAAGTATACACAGTGGTGATGATATTGGTAGAGAAAGGATGCAGGACATAACTAATACCAGCAGCTGGTCTCCCCTCCAGACCAGCAGAGTTGGCAAGAGCACAGAAGGCAGTGCAGGTGCCAGGAACAGGAACCCTGACGGCGGCCAGGCGCATCTCCGTCAGCTGCACTGTTCAGATCTTTAGAGATGATATATACTTAACATTGGGGAATTTTCCCCCAATTAATTAAAATTTTATTAGAAGAAGTAATAGGAATGGTAATGATAGACTTTGTCTTTGTTATAGACTGTCATTTCTGAGTTTTCTCTGAAATGCTCCTCTTTCTTGTCAGGTGTCTTGCATTCTGACTAAAATTTTTGTTGTTTTTGTGAAGAGGTGAATTTAGAAACATGCTCTAAGTCCTTAAAGACAAAGTTAGCAATGAGGATAGTTCTGTGTTTTTTCCTTATATAATAATACATTCTTAAACTGAAAATCATTACAGCATTTGACTCTGACTTCTTAGTTTGGAGGATATTATTAGCAGTTTTAGCTGCTGAGGGAGTAATTTCAAATCATAAGCTGAGGTTCGGAAATGTTACTCCCCTAAGACTTTGATCATTTCTGTAAATACTTTTTGTTGCCTTTCTTTTCTCTTTCACTTGAAAAGTTGAACTGTTTGTTGCTTTTAACTTTACTGTGCTTCCCAAAATAAGTTACAAAAACAATTGCTGTTTAGTAAATCTAGCCCAACCTTTTCTTCAGTATCTCCAAGTTATCTATGTATCTCAGTTTCTTTTGAATGTCCTCCATTGTAACTTTCTCAAATTCTAATATTTGTGTTTTCTTTCCTTCTCCTGTTATTACAAAACTTTGTACTTTGGACAGTTTTGCTCTGTAAAGCATTTCAGATGCATCTTGTGTGAAATGCATTATGCAAAATAAAGTTTATTGTATTGTATTCCCAGCCAAACAACATGTAATCTACAGTAATAAAAAATATATCTCATTTTGGGCTCAAAGCATTAATCCAGTAACTGAAAAGAGAATACAAGTGGAGCAAACAAGAGATGAAGATCTTGAGACAGACTCATTGGACTGAATTTTTCCCTACCCCCCTTTGATGGAAGAATGTTCCAGATTCTAAATTGAGGACTTCATTTATTAATGGCATTATTACTGTGTTATGATTGTTAACAAAATATCCTGTAAGGTACACACTACATTCTAAGGTCGGCCATCATTCCTGGTTTTTGTTTTTGGTTCTTTTTTGCCAAGCTTAAAATGAAGCTTTGTGTTTGAACGTTAGATGAAGATGGTGGTTGTACATACTTTCATTTAGAAAATAAAAACTCATTTTGTTTTGAAGCTAGATATTAAACTGGAATAGCTATTATACATGAGTGGGGGCACTTGTGCCCTTCCCTTGACATTCCTTTGTTGTTCTTGAGAATCTTCATTGTTTTTTAATCCTGAGAGATTAAATAGTAGACTTGTTACGAAAAATGAACCTGTAACCAGAATTTTAAAATAAAGTTTTTTTGTAAAAAAAAGAAACCGATTTTTAGGTATTTTTGTGTTCTTGTCTATTTCAATTCGTTGATAATATGGCCTGAACTCTGTAAGCCATGGTACTAGAAATGACCAAGATTGTAATTTTAAATGCTTATTTTTTGTGATTTACACTAAAATATGGTCCCTTTTCATTTGCAAAATATTGTAAATGTTAGATGTCATTTGAGTTTGATACATTGGCTAAATATTTTTCAAAATATCACACATTGATCTTAAATAAGTTTTGTTGAGCCTTGAAGTAAAAAATTGCTGAAATTATGGATCCTTTGAAGATGTTAGCAAAATTAAATCATTTGTTTTGAGATGTTGGCTTTTAATCACAGTTGTGACACAGAATCCATTAAACAATCATAGGTATTCTCATTGTGGCCTGTTTATCCACTAATTCTGATTGGAATTGGTCTTTTTAATAACACATTAATGTTGGAAAGAAAATTTCATCATAATAACTTTAGATCTTTATTGTGTTGTAACTGAAAAATTGTTTGAGTTCTGCTTAAAGTAATTCTGTGCAGCTGCAGAATTTAAAAGTACAGTCAGTTCCTGTGGTCTAGGTTGTGTGTTACTTTAAGGGTTACCTAAGGGATTGTGGGCGTTTGATAATCAGTCACGACTTCCAATGTTTTGAAATGTTTGTGTTAACATTTGATAGGCAGAATAAAGATGAAGGAAAGAAGCCAGAAGTTAAGAAAGTGGAGAAGAAGCGAGGTTAGTTCACTTCACTTCCTAAGATGTATAAAATAGAACTCTATACATAGAAAGAAGGGTTTATATACACTTAATTTACCATGAATAAGTCTAACTTTGTTTTTTATGTTATTTTTCAAATCCACAATGGATTCCACATAAATATTTTTTACCACAGTCAAGTGGACATAAGTCTTGTCTTTGTATTTTGACATTCATTATTTGTGTGTTTTGTTGCTTTGCCAAGGTTAGGTGCTTTCCATTTTTGACAGATGCTTTGGTTAAATACCTAAGGGTAAATCGGGTATTTAAGGATTGGAGTGTCAAGCAGTTCAAAACTGCATATAGACTATTTTAGAAACAAACACAGCTAGGTGGTGATTTTGAGTTATTATGGTGCATGTTGCATCCCTGAACCAAGTTTCAAAGTAGCAAATAATGCTTTATTCTTAGATATTGTTAATTTATATAAGGTTCTAGTTAAAATTATTGAGGACATTTTTTTGAATTTACCAGGTCTTTCTATTATACTTTGCTAAGAGTCTACAGAATTCTGATTTTGGAAAAACTATTTACTGTTTTTCACATATTTTAATTTATAGAAACATCAATGGATTCTCGACTTCAAAGGATACATGCTGAAATTAAAAATTCACTCAAAATTGATAATCTTGTAAGTGTTTAAACTCATTCAAAGATACAGTGCTGCTTTATTTTTTTTTTCCACCTGGCTTTTGAAGTATGTGGACCTAAAATAAAAGGCAGTTTTTGGTTAATTTATGCTATTTTGTGATGTTTAAGAAACTTGAGAAATAGATGATAATGTGGTGATAATGAGCAGTTACAAAATCCCTGTTTTATTATGAAGGATGTGAACAGATGCATTGAGGCCTTGGATGAACTGGCTTCACTTCAGGTCACAATGCAGCAAGCCCAGAAACACACAGAGATGATTACAACGTTGAAAAAAGTAAGTGATTTCAAGTCACATAGAACTTGAAAACTTTCTCATTTTAAAAAGCGAAATGCCAAGGAAAATGATTACGAATGTGTATTGTTTTCAGATACGGCGATTCAAAGTTAGCCAAGTTATCATGGAAAAGTCTACAATGCTGTATAACAAGTTTAAAAACATGTTTTTGGTTGGTGAAGGGGATTCTGTGATTACACAAGTGCTGAATAAATCTCTTGCTGAACAAAGACAGCATGAGGAAGCAAACAAAACCAAAGACCAAGGAAAGAAAGGGACAAACAAAAAGCTAGAAAAGGAACAAACAGGTATGTGGTCGTCCATCATAGGCCAGCTCTTTAACTCTTAGCATGACTGTTTTTAAATGGCTTTGACATGTGCAAAAACATACGCTCAGACTTTACCATTTGGCTCGAAGTGAAATTGGTGAACTGGTTCTCAAGGTGATTGTGAGAACAGTGATGACACAAAGGCCATGAATGCTGCAGAAAAGCTGCCCACACAGCAAATGATGGGAACTAGACTAGAGCACCGTTCATAAACCCCAACAGATTGAGCACAAAAACCTCTGCTAATGAGGAAGGTGACTAGAAATACTTCATCCCTTAAAAAGAGCCTATTTTCTGTTCCCTCATCTGCTTCTGGTACTTCCACCTAGGAAAAAAAAAAAAAACAGAGTAAGACAATATACAGTAACATTTTAGCCAGTGCACATGATGGTAGGTGGGTGGTGTTAGCCACATTAGCCACTGACATAGGCATTCTGCAGTTACATGCTGCCAAGTTACCAGTAACACGTTCATCTTACTGTCCAAAGGCTGGCGAGAAGGTTCATGGACATGTCTGTTGTATACAGAATATTTTGCTCTGAAATAGTACCTTGATTTCATTGTAAATAGTGTGTCATTGTACTTGAGTCAGGAAGTATGGTGATGCCTTAATGACAGGCTGAATTGGCAATGCTAATGTGCTTTGTTTCATACTCAATTTTTTTTATTATAGATTTTAATTTTTGAGTTTGCATTTTGTTATGCAAATATTCCAAAAATCTGAAACACATCTGGCCCCAAGTATGTCAGATAAGGAAGACTCCATACCTGGGTAATGTAGTTTACCCTGATAAGATCCAAGAAAATTCAGGATAGTAAAAATCAAGATAAAAGCCAAGAAAATTCTAGATATACCACTTCATCCATAAACAGTTCAGAGTGTATGATTGAGTGACTCTGGGAATTGTACTGTTATCAGCCCACTGCCCCCCATTCTATGCAGTTTTAAAGTAGAAATCTACATTTCAAAAGTTTTTAGATTGGTTTGCTCTCATTAGGTCTTTTTCAAGATTAATAAGATTTAGAAGAAAAATCTCTTGTTACTTATTAAGCATCAACATCATATCTGTTACAAATACTACTTTTAACACTTTTAGGTCTAAATTATCATTAAAGCTGAAAATGTGATGTTCAGTATTTTTCTAAGAAACAAAACCATAGTGTGTTAAAGATTTTATTTAATCTTGTAGCTTTACTAAAATCCACGGGGTCTGAATTAACAATGTAATTCAATATGTAAGGAGACTGAGGGCCTTGAGTGGGTCTCAGCTCTCTAGGAAGGCATAGCATTCAGCCTGCGCATTCTGATTATGTTTCCCATTGTAACTCCAAAGGCTCAAAGACTGTGAACGGAGGGGCTGATGCACAGGACAGCACTCAGCCGCAGCACAATGGCGAAAGCACCGAGGAAAGCAAGGACGGCCCCGAGGCCGGCAGCAAGAAAAAGTGAGGATGCACTCAGTGGTACCAGAGCTTTTCTAAAGTTAATGGGTCCCTGGTTTTCAAGTGAGCAAATTGCAAATGAAGAGTAGCAAAAATATAAATACAAGTGACAAATTACATACAGATAATTTGTATTCAAGATAGCACAGCTTGACTTTCCCTGGACTTGTTTTACTAATATAGTGCTTATGACTTCCTTTTTTTGTTTTGTTTTAAAGATTTATTTTTATTGTGAAGTGTCAGATATACAGAGAGGAGGAGAGACAGAAAGGAAGATCTTCCATCCAGTGATTCACTCCCTAAGTGGCAGGGAGCTGGATGAAAAGCAGGGCTGCCAGGATTAGAACCGGCACCCCTTTGGAATCCCAGTGCATGCAAGGCAAGGACTTTAGCCGCTGAGCTATTGCACGGGGCCCTTATGACTTCCTTTCAAACTTACTTGAATTATGATAATGTTAGAAATTAGATGTAGAATTACAGGTTACTGTAAATTACAACGTTCCTTAAAACAACTAGACCACAATCATCCAGGTCTTAGTTCCTTCCACTGAAGGACTTGGAAGTCAAGTTCTGCTGTAATTATGAAATTTCTTAGAAATTAAAGATGTACTTAGAGAATTTACTTTGAAGCTGGAAATGGTGCTCTAATATTGTGGGAAGAAAATACGAATGGTATAACAATTTAAAGGAGAAGCTTATTCATAGTGTAACACCTTGCTTTCCTTTTTTCTAGGCCCTCCAGTGACGAGAGGGAGACGGAAATACCTCTGACAGAATCTATGCTTGACAACTAGGCTGATATGGAAGTTAAATAGTTGAGAAGTTTGTATTGACTTTCATTGGAAATATTTAGACGGCCACAAGTTTTAAATTTTTATAAGCATAGGTTTTGATGTTTTAAAACTTGTCTTGAGGGAGAAAATTCTTTTATCTCTGTTCACAAGTAATGAAACTTCTCACTAATCGTACTTGTGCAGTATTAACAGCTCCATTATACCGTAAATGTGGGGGGATCCATTTAGGAAATGTTAAAACTGCCTTTCCAGACATGGTTGTAGCATATTTTCAATTATTGTGTGTTTATGTGAATTGGTAGAACAAAGTTACATTTTTTAAAATGCTACTTGTATAAACCTTTCCTCTAAATACCATGGGTTTTGTGCATAGTTTATACAAATCTTGGCTTTACCAGGCTGTCTTTTCACTGTGGGTTTTGTAGAAGTTGAGCATTTTTATGGTAGAGAAAATGTTACTTCTATACAAGTACTCACTCCTTCCTTTTACCAAAAGTTAATTTTAATCTCATAGTCTCTACATTGTGCTGCGTTATCCTGCTTCTTTGGAAGTGTGTGGTCTCTTATCCCTTTGTATATGACTGGCAAGTCTAAGAGTTACAGAACAAACCTGATTTTTGGAAGTAATTTAGTTTTGCTGCTTGGGGTTCGGTGAAGTCACATGACTTCCATAGAGAACATGTTGGGCATATATTATAAATCTGGCTTTAGGGCTCAACCATGTAAGATCCTTTACAGGCATTCGTAACTGAAACTGAAAACAGTAAGTTTAATGTCTCGAGTCTCTAAATATTCTACAAAGTCACACTCATTAAGAAAACCATTAATTTTAATTGGGAAAAAATAGTCCATGACACTTATGCAGAAAATATAAATACTATACAAAGCAACTAACTGAAAACATGGATGTGTCAGAAATTTCTATTTCCATTTTTGGTATCATACATGCAACAGGATGATTATATTACAAAAAGTAGAGACTGAAATCACAGAAAAGCAATGTTATCAAAGATTCTAGGTATGTGACAAAGGATAGCATCCTAAGATGTTTTGAATGTTAGGGCAGTTGGTGGTTTCAATAGATAGGAAGATACTTATGTTTTGACACGATATGGGAGGCGGATTTTAATACCAGTGTTTGTGAGTGAAATGCATCATATGTTGACTTTTCAGGTAATTTTCATCTGCAGGTTAAAATTTTGAAGTGTCTAATTGGATTTTTGCATTTGAGAGGTCTTATAATGGAAGCTAGGACCCGTGTTTTAACTCTGCTGTTACATTACACACCCATTTTGGTCCATAATTCAATTTTACCTTTGACAGATTTATTCTAGCTAAGCCATAAGTGTCAATGTGTAAACTTGTTTTGATTAAAGAATTTTTCTATAAAACTCCACTAGTAAATTACTTCTTTGCCATTTTCCAAAGTGTGGGCTCATGGATTTACTGCTCAAGGAACAATTTCTTAAGAGACTGAATTGTTTGTAGAAACAGGATTTAAAAAGAACTCAAACCTGTAAAAATAAAGAAATGTTATTTCTCTCTGTTCACCCAGTGGAGCTAAAGCTTTCCCATGAAGACAGAGCATCCAGTGAGTGGAGACAGCAGCAGTCCAGCCCTTCATGTCTGCTTGCAGTCTGCCTTGATGTAGGCTCTTTGCTTACAGCACAACTGCCTTCTTGAACCTTGTCTTCTGCTGCAGGCTGACTGGCAGCAAGCTTAGCGCTGAGCAAGTTTTATGAGTAACCAAGAACCTTTTCAGGCATGTCATAAAATTCTGTATTTGGAAAATAATGCCTACAGTTAAGTAGTAAGAATTCAAAATATATGCTGTAGGTGCATACTCCTAAGCTTTTCTTTTGATCATTGGGTTATATTTAAAGAGTAATTTATGCACAACCTAGCAGGAATGACTGTAATTTGTATTACATGAATCAGAACATCAGATCAGGACTTTGTGGGACCACACAAACCAGAAAACCTTTTAAGCCTTTAATTATACCTGAGGATTTTGGCTATTGTAGATTTGACCCATTTTTTGCTGACACTGTACTGAATGTTTCTGACATCTAATCCTGCACATGGGCAAAGGCTTTGTTTACATGCAGCTCAGCTAACTTATTTTGGCCCATGGGCACAGGAAGAGAGTAGGTGCTATCTGTTGGATCTAGCATAACCTACATCCTAAGCATCTTTGAAATGTTGAATCAGCTCCATGTCTGCACCACTGGATACAGGAAACTAAAAACAGGCACACGTAAGCCCTACACAGAAGGGGCCTTTTAGTTCTATGCCTGATCCCGTGTTACTGACATAATTAATGAAAGACCTCACTACACAACAGAAGTGGGTTCTTCTCATCTTCAGACCAGCTGATTCAACTGACTACACATTTTGTTCCTGAAAACACTGTCTGCCTTAACAGGCGGTTATAGGTTTTGGTGTGTAAGTGCTTGTTCTGAGCCATCCGTAGGAATCTGCATTCATGCTGAATTTAAATATAACCTAGGAGAGAGAAGTGAAATGATTAATTTAAAATCTTTAAAAAAAAAACTTAAAATTGCCACTTAAAAAGGTTTCCATGAAACATTTCGATAGGTATAATTTTTTATGATGCTCTAGACCTGGAAGTTGACTAGAAAGTATCCTCCATTTGTCAAAGAATGAAAGAGGAGTTAGGATTATTACAGTATAGAAAGCAGAGAAGTGGACAGGCCACAAATTCCTGTATTTCCTTTAAAATTTTTCATAAAGGATTATTTTACCTAACAGTATAAGTGTGCCAAAGCTAGCTTTTCACAGAATCTTGATTTCCTCTCTCCCCATGGCAATATACATATATGACTAGTTTGAGTCATAATACCAAGGTTTTTTTGCCATAAAATGAAGCTTCAATTTAAACATTCCTTCAGTGAAGGACTGGGTATATACCTAACACCTTTACACATTGGTCATTTATATGTATCATATCCTTAATGTGTCATCAACAAGATTTAACATCACAGATATTTGAAGGATATTTACCTTGGAGTCTCATGGTAGAAGGGGTAACTCTCAGATTCTTCAGGGAATTTCCAAAATACAGCCACTGCCTGATGTATCTTAGCTCAAGTCTAGCCTTAGCAAAAGGCACTTCATAGGATGGAGATGCAGGCCATGGAGAAACCAATGAGAATATGTGTATGCACCACAGTATTTTTTTAGCATATGGAAGGTTTTTCAGTAAGATATTAAGCCCCTTCAGATGAATAAAACGCATTAAAATGTGTACTTTGGAGTGAAAATTTCTAAACGTTTGGACGACTACTATTCCATATGGATCTGTTCCTTAGTGATGTATTTTGAAAACAGAATAACCATCCAACCCAAGAGGACTGGTGTACTTCAGAGGGGCAGCTATTTAATTAAAGGTTCCAGGATCAACATAAGGATAAGCAAGGAATTCCCCAAGTTTGTTGCCTTCTGAATCATAGTGGAGCATTCGGAAGCAGACATCGCAAAAGAAACATGGATCCTGTGGTGCAAAACTGTCATTGTTTGTCACCCATCTGTGGTTAAAAAAAAAAAATCATTACAATCAGTTTTCATACTTGTATGCTATTAAGGTATGCCCTGCAGTTATAGGAAAATGCAACTTCGAGCACTGTCTTACTTGTCTAGACACTCTGAAAGGCAAATGAGCATCTGCAGGTGCTGTTGATAACACCCACCCTTAAAGGTAAGTGGAGAAGACTTTTAAAATCTATACTTGAAAACAGCATGTACTAGCCATGATGTATCTGTTTCCAATTAAACAGTGTGAATAGTAATTTTTAAAGATTTGAAAACGGGGAGGAGAGAGAGGTTTTTCATCTGCTGGTTCACTCCTTAAATTGCCACGATGGCTAGGGCTGGGCCAGACTGAAGCCAAGAGCTTCTGGGTCCCCATGTGGGTGTGGGGCAGAAAGGCTTGGGCCATACTCTGCTGCTTTCCCAGATGCATTACAGTTTGTTGACTCTGATGTGGAGCAGCTGGGACTCCAACTGGTGCCCATTTGGGATGCTAGGAGTGTAGGCAGTGGCTCACCTGACAATTCCAGCCTGATGATTAGGAATTCTTTTGATAGGCCAATTTTTTTTTTTTTTTTTGTCTTAGAAAAAAAAAATTTCGGAAGATCATTAAGACAGATTTCCTATCCACTGATTTGCTCCTTATATGTCAACAGCCAAGGTCAGGCCAGGTGAAAGTAAGCTGCTGGGAGCACAATCCGAGTCTCCCACGTGGGTAGCAGGAATGTAGCTACTTGGGCTGTCACCAAATGCCTCCCAGGCTATAACCCAGGCTCTTCCAGGATGTGGGCATCTCTGCAAGCATCGGCAGAACGCACCAAGTGTCTACCCTAGGCGCCATCTTGAGAAACTAGGAAAATGAGATGCTTCAAGCCTGACACACTTCTGTTCGTAAATGAATACTGATACACTTCTGTGTGATCTAGAACTGAGGTTAAAATGTTACCACTTAGAATATATATGAATGGGATATGGCACTGTTATTATCTGTTCGTTCTTGAGATGAGATTCCATTTGCATGCCTGTTTGGGTCCTGCATCTTGCAGACTATTTGTTTTTAACAAGTTTTCCTTTTTCTCTGATACCCGATTTCTGATTTCCTACTAATCTTTCAGAAAATCATATTGTGGTGGAGAATCCAAAACTAGTTTACAAGGCTTCTGAATGCTGACCCACATAAGAAACACATAAAATCCAAGCACAAAAATTTATGTAAACCAAGCTTTGTACGCATGATGCCATTATGACACTCCTGCAGGAATTTTTTATCAAAAACGTGGGATGAAGCTGACTGAAAACTATAGACAAGAGAAGATGGGCCTGCACTGCGGGGCACCTGGTGAAGCCACCACTTACAACACCCCCAATTCCACATTAGAGTGAGGGATCAGGCGTCAGCTATTCCACCTCCAATCTGGCTTCCTGCTAGTGCACGGGGGACGGCAGCACAGGGTGGCCCAAGTGCTTGGGCCTCTGCTACCAGGCTGGGAGACCTGGGAAGGGCTCCTGGATCCTGATTGCGGCCATGTGGGGAGTGAACCAGCACCTGGACGTCTCTGTCGGTCTGCCTTTCAGATCTTTTGAAGGCCAAACATGGCTCCTGCAGCACTGAAGTCTGGCTACCCTGTGCACTTCTATATGGGTAACCTATTTTCTAATCTTTAAAAAAACACTGATTTTAATCCATCATTCTGATTTTATGGCACCTGTCCACATACTGCAAAATACGAGTCCTCAGATCCATAATGGGCGAGTAATGTACCATAAGTCAAAGTGCTTCATTGCTGAAAACCCAATACTTCCCAAAGAAAAGCATTACCACTCACCTAGCTGTGTACATTTTACAAACAAAACATTTTCTGGTCCACAGCCAGTGCTTCTTGATGAGAAGGGGATAAAGTGTCCTGTCCAGGCAGTCGTCATGATGCACAAGCCTTTTGTCCATGGGGAAAGAAGTGAACATGTTAAAAGGCAAATTTGGAAGAGCTATAAGGGACTAAATATATTTAAACATTAGGATTTTTCAGTTGTTGCTTACAAACATGAGGTAAACAGGTTGTTACACCAAGTGTGAATTGACTTCCACAAAACTCTTTCCTCGAAAGAACATTCGGAATTAGTTTCTTTCCTGTGGGACTGCTCAATAGCTTTTCCTGCATGTACTCCCACACAGCCCTTGGTGCTGCCTCACATCTGCTACTCAGTGGTGTTTTACCCAGATGATCTTGTTACAACACAGCTCACTTTTTTTTTTCACTCTTCCCTTTGAGAGAACTCAAGTCTGGCTCCTGATGAAATTGAACCACCAAAAGTTTAGTTTCAGGTGTGAGAATTAAGAAACTAGGTTTTGTTTTTCTAAAGTTTTTTTTAAACACTTATTTTTATTGCAAAGTCAGATATACAGAAAGGAGGAGACAGAGAGGAAGATATTCTGTCCAATGTTTCACTCCCCAAACAGCCCCAACAGCCAGAGTTGAGCTGATCAGAAGCCAGGAGCTTCTACTGAGCTTCCCACGCGGGTGCAGGGTCCCTAGGCTTTGGGCTGTTCTTTTCTGCTTTCCCAGGCCACAAGCAGGGAGCTGGATGGGAAGTGGTGCTGCTGGGATTACAACCAGCAGCCATATAGGACCCTGGAGCAGTGGTGTCGGGCCAGAAACCAGGTTTTAATAAAACAGTTAATCCCTACTGTGTCACTAAGTATAAGGCTTTAGAAAAAAATCGATAAATCATGATGGACTTTAAATTCTTCTACAAAATGAAACGACTGCACAAATCATTCTAAAGGTACCTAATAATTCTAAAATAAGAGTTTTAAAAGTAAATATAAGGCCCAGCATGGTAGCCTATTGGCTAAAGTCCTCAGTTTGCACATGCTGGAATCCCATGTGGGCTCCAGTTCTAATCCCAGCGGCCCTGCTTCCCATCCAGCTCCATGCTTGTGACCTGGGAAAGCAGTCAAGGACGGCCCAAAGCCCTGTGACTCTGCATGCGAGTGGGAGACCTAGAAGAAGCTCCTAGCTCCTGGCTTCAGATTAGCTCAGTTCCGGCCATTGTGGCCACTTGGGGGGGTAAATCAGCAGATGGAAGATCTTCTCGATCTCTACTCCTCTCTGTATACCTGACTTTCTAATGAAAATAAGTCTTTAAAAAAAAGATTAATATAGTGAAGGAAATGAACAGATATTTTTAAAAAATTAAATATGGCACTGGTGTTGTGGTATTGCAAGTAAAGCTGCTACCTGTGATACTGACATCCTGCATGAACACCATTTGACACAACTGCTCCAATTCTGATCCAGCTCTCTGCTAACATTCATGGGAAAAGAAGTGGAAAATGGCCCAAGTGTTTAGGCCCTGCCATCCAAATGGGAGAATCAGATCAAGGTCCTGGCTCTTGGTTCTGGCCCAGTGCCGACTCAAGATCATCTGGGGAGTGAACCAGTAAATGGAAGTTCTATTTCCTCTTTAACTTTGGTTTTAAAAATAAAGAAATAAACAACAACAACAAAAATGAATTCAGGCAGGAGTAGTGGCAAGCACTGTGGCACAAGTGTGCTGACCTGCCACTTCAAATGTGAGCATCCGGTGCAGGAGTGCCGGTTCAAGGCCTAGCTGCTCGGCTTCCAATGCTGCTTCCTGCCTAGCTGCCTGGGAAGGTAGGAGATGACCTGAACGTTGGTCCCTGTTACCCACACTGGAGAGCCAAATGGAGTCCTTGACTCCTGGTTTCATGTGTAGAAGCAAGAACAGCTTTATAAAATTTTAGTAACATTATCAGGGGCACCAATGTCCTGCTAATGACATTGCAGGCTACATAAATGCATGGCTTTAAGTGTGTCTCATCAGCCTCTCCTACAGGCAACTATTTCTTAAGAATTTAATTCTTTAATTACTCCGTGCAGAACAACCAATTTTGGTTAAATACAAAATTAATGTTTAAATTGCTACCGCACTGGGCCCAAGGACTTATTTTCCGATTAAATGGTGAAAATACTTGCCAGATGGGTTAAGCATCAAGAAAAGGCCTATCGGTTTGACTACTGCACCCCACCATTCCCTCACTGGACAGCTGTGAATCTCTCACTGACCCTGGCTCCAGTCGGGACCACCCTTACCTAGATCTGCCACACAGCCATCGCTGGGATTTCATCTGTGCAGCACTAGGAGAAGCTCTGAGAGCTACTCTCTACACCGCACTGCCCCTTTCAAGGTGACCCTTGGGGTGACCTTCACCCTCTGGAAGCTTCCTAAGCACGTGACGTTTCAGAGAGCAGTCACCAAGCCCCCAAGAGCCGGAAGCATCGATCCCTGTTCCTGATACCATAAACACAGGGGCATTTTATTGCTCCATGAGAAGTTTAAAATCATCTCAGGAATTGAGCCAGCAACAGCACACGGCTTATTCCGACATGCTGGTCCTTCTCAAGCTGCTATTTCCTTAAGCTGGACATGAAGAATCTTACAATCTCTTTCAATACCTTCTGCCTAGTTCAGATCTTTGCTGAAACATTATTATTGTATGTTTATCAAATAGCAGAATTGCCTTTTCAGTCCTTCAAATTTTAGTAAAAAATTTGGTACCACTTCTCAGCCTTTTGGGTAAGATCAAGTATAAAAATTTAATAAGCCAAGAAATCCATAATATGGGTCCATCTACAATGGAAGATCACCCTTTCTTTTTATAAATCTGCCTTTCAAATTTTACATATATACATATATATACATTTTACATATATGCATACACACACACACATATATCAGGAATGAAATTGCAAATGGGCACAGTTTGTCACTGCATGGAAAGAATTTTGCCACTTCCAAACTAAGTTGCAGTGATGATTTTTGTTTTTAATCACCTCTACTTTTTTTTAAAAAATTTACATTTATTAATTTTTATTGGAAAAGTAAGATTTAGAGAAAGAGATACAGAAGAGAACAATCTTCCATCCAATGATTCACTCCCCAGGTGGCCACAACAGCCAGAGCTGAGCTGATCCAAAGCCAGGAGGGAGCTGGATGGGAAGTGGAGCTGCTGGGATTAGAACTGGTGCCCACATGGGATCCTGGCCTACCACATCAGGCCCCAGACACCTCTACTTTTATGCTGTGAAACAAAGAGGAAACATTGCTGCCACCTACCTTATGTCCGTAATGACAACAACATGCTCACAGTCTCCCTGGTGACAGTACAAGTAAGGAAACCCCAGCTTAATATACAAGTCATTGAAGGTGAAATCTTCCATTCTGGCTGTCTGAAACTTCCCATAGCCTCGATCATGGGACTCTGACCACTCAATGATGGTTCTGATGGAGAAAAGGAGACAAGGCTATGTCACACTGCTCCCCTAAAACATAAAAAGAAAGAGGATCTGCTCATCTAATTAACAATTGCCACTCTGACAGCAAGACTGCAAGCACCCAGTTCTGCCCTACCGATTACGTCAACAGGTCTTGGGGGGAAAAACTGCTTTTGCAATAATTATTGGATGTTATCTGCCCTTTTCCAGCTCTTACAGCTTTCTGGTGGGTATGTGACGTGTGTCACTTCAGTCGGGATGTAAAGCATGCAACAAAGCCAGCCCTTTTTTCCCGCCTCCCCCAAATCCCACATTTTCAAATATGGTTTACATAATACAATAATTTAATATCTTAAACATTGCTAGGCCCAGCGCTCCCCTGAGCAGGGGCCATGCTATGCATGTGAATGGCCCAGAGGCACTGGTGAACTAGGGGGCACTGGAGGCCTGACTGTTCAACCTGAGAGACTGTTGTCTCACAGTTCTTCCTTCTATCTGGGAAAAACTCCTTTCCTTTTTTTTTTAAGAACTTTCAGTGACTCCAAAAACATCAGACATGTAACTGCTTTTTAATTTCTATCATTTTCATCCTATTTGAAATGAAGACACACAAACATAGAAAGGGAGACAGACAGAGACAGGCTGGCAGGCAAACTGATGGAGATCATCTATGCCCTGACACCTCCCAAACACCTACAGCAGCCAGGGTTGAATCAGGCTGGAGCCTGAAGTCCACCTAGGTCTCCACAAGGGCAGCAGACGCTCAGGTGCTTGAGCTGTCACCTGCTGCCTTCCAGGAAGTGCACTGGCAGGAAGCTCGATCAGAAGCCGAGTAGCCAGGTACTCTACCATGGCATGTGAGTGCTCCCAAGCTGCCAGTTCAGCTGCTGTGCCAAATGCCTGACCCAGAAGTCGATAATTAGTGTTCTTCAAATAACTGTGCTTAAATATTTTATATTTAATATGGGCTCATTGGGGGTGGGGAGGGCATTTGGTAAAGCATTTAAGATGTAACTTGAGACGCCCCCAACCCATACTGCAGCACGTGGTTCAAATTCCAGCTCTACTTCCAATACAGCTTCCCACCAACAAGTGCCCTGAGAGGCAGTGGGTGATTGCTCAAGTACCTGGGTCCCTGTCACCTGGCCCAGTGCTGCCTATTGCAAGGCATTTGGGAATTAAAGTAGTCTCTCAAAAGTAAAAATGTTGAACATTTAGAAATAATTTTCAACAAAGACCCATTCCAAAAATAGGATCTATGGAAATATTATTACCTTAAGAAGTACAAATAAGAAGCAATTTTGAGAAGATTTCTTGAAACTATACCTGCTCAAATCTCTACATTCCGGGTATCTTCTATCATTGTAAAATGTTCCTTCAAAGTAAAAGAAGGCTGATTTGTACAGATCCTATAAGAAATGAGACAGTATTGGGATAACAATTGACATCAACTCCAAGTTTGTGTATCCTAAAGTTACATACCTACAACAATCACTTCATGGAACTACATAAACAGTCTCAGGTCATAAATTTTCTTTAAAACTTCCTCTTTACTGATTCAAGGTACATTAACGGAGAGATTTATCACCCACTGGTTTACTCCCCAGTTGCTCAGGGCCAGGCTGGGGCCAAATGCCAGGAGACGCTGGCCTAGGTGGGTGACGGGAACCCAACTAATCAAGCCATCCTTGCTGCCTCCTCTGGTCTGCATTATCAGGACACCAGACTCGGAGTTGGGAACTGAACCTAGGTACTGTGATGTGGAACACGGTTCTCAACCACTGGGACACATGCCTGTTCCCTGTTACAAATGTGAACCTACTACACGTCAAGTGTGATGTTCATCACCAGGGATGAAGGCAGAGAGATGATTCTTGCTATAATTTTCCATTTTTAGCCTACTGCTATTTTAATCACTCTGATTATTTTAACTTTGCATATTCTCTTGAGATTCAAGAAAAGAATCCAATTAGAAATTAAACAAACCCTCGAGCCAGCTCTGATGCAGCAGGTTTACTGCTACTTGCTATGCCAGCATCCCGCTCTGCTTCTATTTCAGCTTCCTACTAACATGCCTGGGAAGGCAGCAGTAGATGGACCAAGTCACCTCTGCGGGAGACCCAGATAAGATCCTGGCTCCTGGCTTCAGCCTTATCCGGCCCCTGCCATTGAGGACATCTGGGGAATGAAATGGTGGATGGAAGATCTCTTTCTCTCTCTTATCTTTCCCTTTCTCTGTGTCATTCTGCCTTTCAAATCAATACATATGAAAAGAAATTAAATAAGCCTTACATTTATCTTAATATATGTATGTAGAGCAAAAAAAATTTGGACAGCTGAAAAAAATAAAAGCAATTGCATCTTTGGTATTTCTTCAGGAATAAAATGATTGCTGAATTGTGTTTTTCTGACGTTTTGTGGTATTTTCAATGAATCTCTAACAAATGATCTCTTTATATATTTTTTCCTTTCCTTTTACAATTTCTTTGAAAGGTACAAGGAGGCTGAGGGTGAAAGAAAGTGAGCAAAGTCTTGTCTGCTGGCTCATCCCCAAATGCCTGTGAGGGCCAGGGCTGGGCGGACACCCAACCCAAGGACCAAGCACTCAACCCGGGTCTCCCACAAGGACGCAGAGACCCAAGAGCTTGAACCATTCATTACCTGCTGCCTCCTAGGGCATGCTGGAATTTGAAGTAGAGCTGGATTCTCCAGTGTTAGGATGTGGGCATTCCATGTGGCATCTTAACGACTGTGCCCAATGTAAGAACTGGTAGGCGAGCAATATTAATTTCTATTTTCACTCAGGCCATCTTGCTGTGTTGCTCAATACATAACACTTCCAGAGAATTTTATTTGAGTGATGGAAGCAGTTTAATGCCTTTTGACACAATCAGTAATTACAAGGTAAAGTCTAAAAAACCAGAACTGTTTTCTTATAAATCTGAAACCATCCATTAAAAACATTCCCTTATCTCAGTACATAAATGGGCAGCACAGAAGGGATCTCAACACAGCTTTCCGCGGGAGCTGGAGTAATTACTAACCAGCTTTAGTAGCATGCAGGGACACAAACCAGCAGATAGGACCTGTCTGCCTCTTTCTGTCTCTCAAATAAATAATTGAAGAAATACATGTTTAGGATACTGAATCTTTAAACAAATTCCACTACTAAGCTTTATTTATTTGAACGGCACAGTGGCGACAGTAAGACTGCCTCAAACTGCCTTGAGCATTAAGGTCTTGGTTAGAAGGAAGAGGGAAAACTCAGATTCTGCCTGTTAAATCGATCCCATTACTGCACAGCTACACCTTTCATTTTTTGGTAGGGTTAAGAAGTTTTGCATTAAGATTGCTGCTTCTCCTTTAAAAAATGATAATATCCACATTTCCTGGTCTGTATACCAGGAGCCTTTGGAACATTCATGGAAAATTCAGATTATGAAAGCCTACACATGGATTTCCAACAGTTTTTGGTATCAGCAGAAGCTCATTTGTTAATTCCACCTCCCATGAACTTTTTGAAGCACACTAATTCCTCCTCCTCCCCTTTTACCCTAATGATTGTGACAAGTATTCAGAGAACAAGCCTGAGAGACCTGGGTATCTTAAAGCCATTTTCAAATTGACTCAAAAATCTCCAAGTGTGATCTGTGTGAGTCATGATGCTGACCTCCAAACATCAGTTACCAGCATAGTGCCATACGCACCGGAACGGCTAAATGAAATGGTGCCACAGTGGCAGAGGGTGGACAGTCGGGAAAATGTTATAGGATAAATGAGTTTTGAGTCAGGAAATACAAATATGAACTCACCAATAAGCTCCCTTTCTCTCTTACCATATTCAAAGACTCAGAGGTGCAAAAAAGTATGGCGTGTCTGAGGAAGACGACAGTGGCTGGGGTCTCAAGTGCAAGGGTAGGGAGGTGGATAGCATGGAAGGTTAACTGAGGATGACCACTATAAAAGGCCTCATGCTGGAACTGTCAGTCGAAGAACCAGGAGGGAACCTAATTTACTCCATCATTTATGTGGCTGGTGGAACAGGAACCAGCCATGGACAGAGTTCTTACCTAAAATCTAGTGAACCACAGTTCTCCCAAATGTCTTTTCACTTCTCTACAGGAGCTGTTGCTGCTCTCCCCAAGTAGGGCACTACATGCGGGGCTCCCTGGCAGAGTTGTACCAGCCAACAGAATTAGTTCAGTCTTGTTCTTTGCTATAAAACCCAGAGTCAAGGCTTTGCTGCTTCATTAGGTGGCAGTCCTTTCTGAGACCTTTCTGGCCGGCAGTCTACCACCTGACTCCTGACCATCCTTATCCAGTGGGTCCAGGGGGCTCCTCCAGCCTGTGCAGGCACTGCAATGTGAAACATCAGCAAGGAGCAACCTCCTTGGTCATCTCCCCGCTAGGACCGACCCGTGGCACTGACGCAGCTCTCCAGGGCAGTGAAAGGGAACGAACGGGCGCTGCTTATTGACTGGTGCTCTCGGGTCACCTCAGCTACAGAGCTTACACAGGGCGAACACACAGCCCCAAAGCTATAGTGGGAGATGAGGAAATCAAGAGCCTGCTTTGCGAAAAAGTTTTGAAGCTCCAGCGAAGGAAAGCTGGAACTGCATGGAAGATGATTTTATTTACAAGAAGATTTCAGGAGCCGACGGAGTGGTCCCTACTTCCTCAGCCTACTGGTATTTGTTTGTGTCTCACGGGGCAGGGCCACAGGTGGAGAAACACCTTACTTTGCTGATGTGTTCAGGAGCTTGGTCAGGAGAGTTGCTGAATTCCCCACCAATCTGGAGGTCACTGACACAGCAAATCGAATCCCTCAGTTCTGTGAGCTTTTGACTGCCCAACACCAGGATCGTCTGATATGGTTTATGTTCTTTATGCTGAAAGAAAACAACAAATAAATGATGAATTCTGCTATAACCGGATATAACATAATTTTGCTAGTTTTCTTACTTTAAGTTATCTGCATTAACTTGGGTGTTTTAACTACATTCTCTTCAAATTACAAAGATTTCTTTTTGGGTTTTTTTTTTAAGATTTATTTTTATTGCAAAATCAGATAAACAGAGAGGAGGAGAGACAGAGAGGAAGACATTCCGTCCAATGATTTACTCCCCAAGTGACCGCTACTGCCAGAGCAGCGCCAATCCAGAGCCAGGAGCCAGGAACTTCCTCCAGGTCTCCCATGCGGGTGCAGGGTCCCAAGGCTTTGGGCCATCCTCAACCTCTTTCCCAGGTCACAAGTAGGGAGCTGGATGGGATGTGGGGCTGCTGAGATTAGAACCAGTGCCCATATGGGATCCCAGCACATTCAAGGTAAGGACCTTAACCACTAGGCTACTGTGCCAGGCCCTTGGCTTTTTTTTTTTTTTTTTTGACTACTCATTGAGATTTTAACCAAACAAGTTAATAGTACTAAGACCATTCCGGAAGCTTCGTAAAAGCCAATTTAATCCTAAGTACAAATTATATGTAGTAATACTCTCAACTAAATCGTATCAATGTTTATGACACACCTATCCAGATAATCAGAATATATATATGTTAGGCTAAAATACAGTTATTTTAGTAGAGGCTCTATGAAATTGCTGGATACCCTGCACTTGTTAATTCTATGCATTTTTTAAATCAATTAAGAGCTGCTTTTAGTTAGCTAAGTTCCCAAGTATTACAAATTAGTGAGCAACTTCTTCCATTTCTCTACTGCCCACCTATTCCACAAAACATCCACAAGAATCTGTAGAATTAGAATCATTATGGTATTATATATATAATTTTAGTTGTTTCCAGGGCATAAATCAGGTGTATATTTCAACATAACTGTAATTCTACTGATCAAGAGACTGTTGAAGCTTGACATTATTTTCAACATTTTTTATTAAAACAAATCAAGAAAAATCAAGACTATGGTTATCTCTAAAACTAAGATGTCATCATTTGCTTGCATTTATTTTAGACTCTAAGGAATGTGAGCTCTCAAACATTACACTATTAGGTAAAAGTAACTCTAAGTAAAAGTTACTCATATTATCCAGTAGGTTTTGCTACCAACCTTATGAAATATAACCGGGTACAAGACATTCACAGACAGGATAAGTTCTCCTTCTTGAATCATATTCTCTTGATTTGCAGGCTTTTTTCCTACTGCATGTGATTCCTGAGGAAAGAAGACAAAGACTCTGAAACCAAACACTGTAGCTCAGGTGAAGAGGCACTGCAGGAAAACGAGTACCACAGGGGCTTATGTCGGCCGGGTCCCAGGCCTGACTCCTCGTTTTACTGCAGGAAAATTGTGACAGACTTCTGAGCTTGAGCTTCATCTTCTGTTAGAAAACAGAAATCCCTCATGGGTCTCGCATGGAAGCGCTGCTGATGATGTGGACATAAAGCAGCGATGATGTGTGGCACTGAGCACACAGCAGCCAGTGGCAGCACAGCAACACTAGCTGACATTGGCAGAAAACTGGCATTTCCAAAGGCACTACTTTCCCTATGAAGCTGTTCCAAGAATGAAGCTCAGTGACTCAGGGAGGTGCCCGAGGTCTTGCTAGAAAATTAGTATGAAAATACAGACATGTCTGGCACTGAACCTCCAGCTGTTTACAACATCGCCTTTACCATATTTTTATATGTCCTTAACAACTATAAATTAAGGACCATCAACAAAGTAGACTGGCTGAGATGAAAGATGTTTTAAAAGTGAGTGGAGAGCATGCCCTACACCCGGGACTTGGGGAGGGTGGGAAATTGGGTGGGCCTTCTCCCTTAATACCCCCCTTTTAAACATGAAGGTAACAATATGGAAAACATACTAGTATTATCCACTTTCCTGTAGCTCTTGAACCTTCTTACTCTAACTAAGTATGTAAAGAATGTCAAAATAAATTTTATTAATAAAAAAAAAAGTTTCTGATATTCTATGTTAGGTTAAGGATGTTTCTTTCTATTTCTATCATTAAGATTATTCATTACATATAGAAGTTGAATTTTACCAAATATATTTTCTTTGTCTGAATTGGTCAAATGGCCCATTTCCTTTTCTCTGGCAATCTGTTGATTCTTTTCATGGATTTATAACATGAAAATTACCCTTGCTTTCCTGTATTAGAATCGGCTTGGTCATAAATAAAATATTTTAGATTAAAAAAAAAAAGTGAGTGGAAATAATGACACACAAAAAGGCAGGGGAGGAAGATTTAGGAGTTAGTCTACGGAAGCAAGGATTAAGACAGAAAAATTGGGCCCGGCGGCGTGGCCTAGCAGCTAAAGTCCTCGCCTTGAACGCCCCGGGATCCCTTATGGGTGCAGCTCCGCGTCCCATCCAGCTCCCTGCTTGTGGCCTGGGAAAGCAGTCGAGGACAGCCCAAAGCCTTGGGACCCTGCACCCGTGTGGGAGACCTGGAAGAGATCCCTGTTTCCTGGCTTTGGATTAGCGTAGCACCAGCCGTTGCGCTCACTTGGGGAGTGAATCATCGGACGGAAGATCTTCCTCTCTGTCTCTCCTCCTCTCTGTATACCTGACTTTCCAATAAATAAATAAATGTTTTAAAAAAAAAAAGACAGAAAAATCAGAATCAACTATTTCAGGACTCTTGAACCTCTGACAGCCTGGAGTGTGTTTGATGATGACAGAAGCTACTGCATGCCGTAGCATGTGGAAACAACCTGAGTTCCCAAAACAGTAGCCTGCTGCCAGGCCAGGCAGTAGACCCCAGCCTCCCCAAACGGAAGGTTGTGCTTTAGGTGGCCTCCTGAGCCGGACGCCTACTCCTTGCTTGGGTTTAACGGTGGCAGCTGCTTTCCCCAGCAGTATCTACCGAAACACTCAAGGCAGGACTCTTTTTCTCTTTTTGGAGCCGAACTGTCAAAAGACAATGCTTGTCAGGTCACTGACTGAGCCCAGGGTAATATAACAGAAACGATGGTGAGCACACCCAGGGAATGCATGTGCTGCAGAGACAGCCTGGAAGAGGCAGGGCAGCTGCAGCCCTCGGGAAGGAGAATCACACTCAGATGCAGAGTTCGCAACACAAACCGAGAGAAACACAGCGGCTGGAGAGCACGGCCTGTTCCCGGGAAACAGGAAATCCACACATTGACATCATTGCTCAAGCATGGGGGTGGGGAAGGGGAAGCCCCTGAGTCTAACAAGTGGTATCATGAAAAATAAATTTTTTTTAAAAATTAATTATTCTGAGCATGGCTAGAAGAAGAAACAAAAAAGGAATCAGTTGATTCCTGTCAAACTGTAAACACTTCTCTACCTATTCACCTTTGTTGACCACCTACTGTGTGCGCAGCACTACTGGTAAAATTTCTGAGACATTGCTGGCATTAAATAGTATTTAACTGTATATAAATCTGAGCCATATAATAACACATATTTAAGTTATTTGTATTTTTAGTTATTAAAATGAGATTAATCTCAACAGAAGAAATTTTTTTTCAATAATAGCCATGTATAAAAAAGGAAAAAAAAAAAGTTAACAATATATCACAGTCAATGACTGAGAAAAAATTTCCCCCCTAGTGTCAGCATTAAGACCAGGATGTAGTCCACTAGCAGCAAACTATTAACATAGTACTGGAATCTCCAGCCAGAGCGGTAAGAAATGGAGATAAGAAGAAGATTCTAGAAGAGAAGGAAAGAGAATTATCTCTACCTCCGGGCGGCATGAACTAATAGGTACAAAATCCCAAAGGATCCATCTGCACACACAAAAAAAGGTTAGAGCTAATTAACACGCGTAGCAAAGCTGAAGGACACAAAATACACAGAAATGAATTCTATTTCTATTCATCAGCATTGAGCGAATTGAAAAAGAAACTAAGAAAACACGTGCAATCACAGCAATGAAAATAATGCTCAGGGACAAATTTAACCAAAAACATAATACATTTATCCACTAAACAATACGAAACAAGGCTGAGCGGAAAGTACTGTGGCGCAGCATGTTAAGCAGACTAATCTGCTTCCAGTCGAGTTTCCCTCTGACGTGCCTGGGAAGGCAGCAGGTGACGCCCAGGTCCCTGGGAGAGCAAGATGAATCAGGCTCCAGGCTTCAGACCAGCGCAGCCTCAGCCACTGCGGGCATCTGGGGAGCAAAACAGCAAATGGTACATCTTTCTGACTCGCCTCCTCCCTCTGTAACTCTGCCTTTCAAATAAATAAAGAAGAATGTCCAAAAAGAGAGAGAGAGGGAGGGAGGCAGGGAGGGAGGAAGGAGGGAAGAAACAAGGAAGGAAGGAGAGAAAGAGCAAGTAGAGCCTGTGACAATTTCATCTGGGAAGTGCTCAGAAGACTCCTGACATTAGGTATCCAGCTTTCAGCTTGTTCCTGCAGTTGGTACATCTGTACTGGGTACTACAAATTCTAGAGTCTAGAATCTTAGTAACTGGCACGAAAAAGAAAAGCATCAGGTAGCTGGTGAACTCTTTTGAAAATGGCTAGCACAGAGGGGCTGGTGGCCTGGCTGCCCCTCCTGATGAGTGGTCTACCACGGATGGTTTGCCAAGGAACACCAGCTGCACCAGCCTGGAAAGATCGCCTCCAGTCCTTGATTTTCATCGCCACCACATCTGGCCTAGCACCAGATAAACCAAGCCATTCCTCATCATGAGAAACCAGGGACTTACTCTAGCACATGAAGACTCAGACCAAATCCAATCAAAGCCATTCTCAAATTTATATAATGGTTCTAAACACAATAAAGTAACTTCTCTGGTGTCACTTTCCAATCCTGCAGTCAGGACAACACAGGCAGTTAGCGGAGGGCATTTCTGTAAACTGCAGCATGCAAATTTTCAAGGACTGGATCCTGTGTATTCTGAAAAGCCCCCACTTTAATGGCAGTTACTTCCTAGCCACAAAATTCTTGTGCTACGGTGACCCCGACCAAGACTTCATGGAAAACTGATACTATCCTCAGGCACTCCACAATACATGTCATGTTTTCCTGTGTTATAGTCAACACTTCATTTACTACCAACGATTTCAGTTCCACCTGCTATCTTGAAAGATAAAACACCTTCCATAGTTCAATTAGAAGCAAGACACAGCAAATGGGAGGTTCCTAAATTATTATTAATTTTTATTTGTTTGTTTGAGAAAGAGAAAAAGCTGGTTTCTGTCTACTAGCATACACACAAATGCGTGCAACAGCCGGGCTGGGCCAGGTTGAAGCCAGGGGTCTGGCACAATGCCTCAGTGACTAAACCCTTGCCTTGCGTTGCTGGGACCATATGGGGGCACTGGTTCGTGTCCTGGTATCCCTGCTTTTGGCCTGGGGAAGCAGTTAAGGATGGCCCAAAGCCTTGGGACCCTGCACCCACGTGGGAGACCTGGAAGAAGTTCTTGGCTCTTGGCTTTGGATTGGTTCAGCTCTAGCTATTGCAGCCACTTGGGGAGTGAATCATCAGATGAAAGATCTTCCTCTCTGTCTCTCCTCCATGTATAACTGCCTTTCCATTAAAAATACATACATCTTTTAAAAAAATACAAATAGTCAATAATTAAATAGCAAGATGCTCACTATGATTAGCCACTATGATTAGCCACATGCAAGTCAAGCTGCAACCCATACACTAGGATGGCTATTATTTCAAACAATAACAACAACAGTGAAAAGGATGCAGAGAAATTAAAAACTATATATACTGCAGATATGAATGCAAAATGTACAATATAGCTGCAATGGAAAATAGTTTGATGGTTCCTTGATTTACCATATGACCCAATAATTCCACTCCTTCATATAAGTATATATGACGTAGAAACAACCCAAATGCCCATCAACATATGAAAAGTAACAAAGCATCATTACAAAGAAATGAGGTTTATAAAGGAATGAAGCTCTGATACAGTCTATAACATGGATGACTCTCAGAAGCATGATGTTATACACAAGGACAAACACTGCTACGGTTCCATTTACACAAGATATCTAGAGTAGGCAAATTCAGAGATTCAAAGCAGAATAGAGGTTGGTATGAGCTTTGCCAGAGAACACTAGAGATATTACTACTGGGGACAGAATTTCTGTTTTATTAGAAAGTTCTGGAAATAGGAGTGATGGTTACAAAGCACTGTGAAAGCAGTGATGCTACTTAATTTAACACATAGAAATAGTTAAAATGATAAATCTGAAGTAAAGTTTACAATATATATAAAAAAAAAACACTAACAGGCATTCCCATAGGCATCCTTACGCACCATCGAGTGCCCAACAGTGTTAGGCACACAGGCTTTGAGCCTATCATGTCTACTAGTAGCTTCTCACTCAGTACTCGTCATCTTAGCCTTCTCTTGGGAATCTACACAAGAGGTAACGGTTAAAGACCAAAAATGTGGTTAAATCAAAATGACAGGAAGAAAAAATATTCAGGAGGAGAGCAACCATAAGGCAGAAATTTCACCTGAAAACAACATCAAACTAATAATAAAAACAAACAAGTAAAAATAGGTAAAAGCAGAAAGCTGAGCTCTGTGGTCCTTTTCTCTTATTAACACTCAGCCCCAAAGTTCCTCTAGTTTGTTTTCAACTAAGCACACCTAAAGCTAAGCTATGTAAAGCTACCTTATTGTCATCACTAACAGCGACTGAGCTCACTGTTCCTTGGGAAAAGGGTGAAAAACGTGAAACCCACCATCTCATAGGCGAATGTTTCTTGTCGGCAGGCACGATCTATGGTTACAGTTTCTTCCCGATGCTCCAAGAACCTCTTTCTGTTCCTGTTGTAGACATGAAAAAATAAAAACAATCAAAGTTCAACATTCTTCATTAGAATTTCAAAACATATCCTCAACTTTTTATTTTGAATTTAGTTTCAACATCTGTTGCACAAACACTGCAGAGTCCCCATATTTCTTTTACCTTGTCTCCCCTAAATACCTTACATGACCCCACAATTATCAAGAACAGGAAATTAACATTAGTACAATGTTAGTAACTATAGGCCCATTTCAAATTTCACATAATTGTAAATGTAATGGCTTTCAGTTCATTCCAGATTTCCACCTAAAATCCTACCCTGCACCTGTTACTTCTTAGCCTCCAATCTCTTACGGTTCCTCAGAATCTCCTGGCTTGCAAGATCCTGACCTCCCTGAGAAGAGCTCTAGTGAGCTGCTTTGTGGAATGTCCTTCAATGCGAGTTTGAACAGCATTTGCTCAGCACTGGAGCAAACATGGCTGTTGGGGCAGGAATAAACAATGATGCTCTCAGTTCACATACCAGGGGTCCGTGATGGCAATGGCATTCTACCAATGTCCATCTTGGTAAAGTTCCCACCTGTCAGATTCGCCACTAGAACAATAGTTAACCAACCACCAAACACGAAAATTAAAAGAGAGGCATCTTGAGTGTAGTTTTAACATTCTTGCAGGCATGCCTTGACTTTTTTTTAATGTTTATCAGCTATTTTTTTCTATCATTTTTATCTATAGATTACTGATTTGTATATTTTCCTCATGTTTTTGGTCATGGTTCAACTTTTAAGAATTCTTTTTTAGCCTTAAAAAAGAATTGGCTAATAGACATATGAGAAGATACTCAGGCTCCCTAGGCGTCAGGGAGATACAAATGAAAACCACATGGAGGTTCCCCCTAACTCTAGTGAGGCTGGCCTACATTCAGAACTCCACTACCAACTGCTGGTGTGGATGTGAGGAGAAAGGCACCCTTCTCCACTGATGGTGGGAGTACAGGCTGGTACACTCACTACAGAAACAAACATGGAGAGTGCTTAGAGAATTACAAATAAACCTGTCATATGATCCAACTATTCCACTCCTAGGAATATATCCAAAAGAAATAAAAACTGCATATAAGAAGGGGAATCTGTAATCCTATATTTACGGCAGCACAATCTACAATAGCAAAGACACGAAACAGCTCAGATGCCCATCCAAAGAGGAGTGGATAAAGAAACTGCGGTACATCTATTCCATGGAATATTACTCAGCCATTAAAAAGCACGAAATTACACCATTTGCAACTAAATGGTGAGCATAATAGAGACCATTATGCTCAATGAAATTTGTCAATCCCAAAAGGACAAATATCATGTTCTAATATAAGGAAGCCATGATGCAAATGATAAGTTCAATAACCCTTTCCATACTGTTTTTGCTGCATCCCATGTGTTGCGATGTTTTTGTTTTTATTTTCATTTCTTCCAAATAGTTTCTCTTCTCTTGTAAATAATTCACTGACTCGTGGCTTGCAAAGTGGCATCATTTTACCCAAGAGGCTTTTGTGTTTTTTTCATTTCTTCACCCACGCATTGGTGGTTATTCAGTGGCATGTTTTTCGACTCCAAGGTGTTGCAAATTTTTTGTTTTGACGTCATACCTGTTGTTGACTTTCTTTCATGGTTTCTCACTTAAGGGAATGTACAGTGATGGCATAATAGAGACGATCATACCCAGATGTGAAGATAAAATGCAGTAAGCCTTTCTATTTCCACATCAAAGATGGACTCCCAATGAAACTGCTGGATATATCTACACAGTGGGATACTGGACTGTCTGACATTGTCTGTACCAGTACGTCAGAGCACATTTAAATAAAAGACTGATGGACTTATGACAGCTTATGAAGGATTATACTATTGTAATAATATGGGGAAAATCAGTCAGGGGATGGGTGGGAATTTGGGGAGGGGATTAAGAAAGCCCAGACTCTATGGAATTGTACCATAACATTCAAATTAAAAAAAAAAATTATTGAGTCAGGAAAGGTAGCCTTGTGGTTAAAGTCCTCGCCTTGAACGCACCAGGATCTCATATGGGCACCATTTCTAATCCCGGCAGCCCCAAGGCTTTGGGACCCTACACCCGCATGGGAGACCTGGGAGAGGCTCCAGGCTACTGGCTTTGGATCAGCACAGTTCTGGCCATTGCAGTCACTTGGGGAGTGAATCACTGGATGAAGGATCTTCCTCTCTCTCTCCTCCTCTCTGGCTTTCCAATAAAGATAAAATCGATCATTAAAAAAGTTTACTTTAGGGCCTGGCGCAATAGCATAGAGGTTAAGGTCCTTGTCTTGAACGCGCTGGGATCCCACATGGTCACCGGTTCTAATCCTGGTAGCTCTGCTTTCCATCCAGCTCCCTACCTGTGGCCTGGGAAAGCAGTCGAGGACGGCCCAAGACTTTGGGACTCTGCACCTGCATGGGAGACCCATAAGAAGCTCCTTGCTTCGGATTGGCTCAGCTCCAGCCATTGTGGCCATTTGGGAAGCGAATCATTGGACGGAAGATCTTCCTCTCTGTCTCTCCTCTCTGTATATTCCTCTTTCCAATAAAAAAAATAAATAATCTTTTAAAAAAATTATTGGAAAGCCATATTTACAGAGTAGAAAGATAGAAAGATCTTCCATCCGTTAACTCACTCCCCAAGTGGCCACAATGACTGGAGCTGAGCCAATCTAAAACCAGGAGCCAGGAGCTTCCTTTGGGGTTCTTCCCTGCTGGTGCAAGGTCCCAAGGTCTGGAGTCATCCTTGACTGGCTTTCCCAGGCCACAAGCAGGGAGCTATATCACACGTGGAACAGCCAGGACACAAGCTAGCAACCATATGGGTGGGATGCTGGTACTGCAGGCAGAAGAAGTTTAGCCTGCACTGATCCTTCACTTCTTTGGAGTGTATTCTTATGTATAGTGCCATATTAAATTGGCATAAATGCTTGGTTCTAACTCTGTGCTTCTTTCTGCTCAACGGTATACTACTTGTTCATGATCCAGGACCTACAGGTTTGTTTTTTTTTTAAGGATTATTTATTTTTACTTTAAAGAGTTATAGAGAAAGGGAGACTCGGCACAGCTGGAACTTTGGGTGTGATAGCTCAATACACTAATCCTCATTTTTCAATCTCCACCATCCCACATGGGTACCATTTCATGTCCCAGCTGGTCCACTTCCCACCAAGATGCCTGTATACTGCTAGGGAAAACAGTGGAGGGATATCCAAGATCTTGGAACCCTGGACCCATTAGGGAGACCCAGAAGAAGCTCCTGGCAACTGGCTGATTGGCTCAGCTCCAGTCATTGCAGCTATTTGGGGAACATACCCACAGAAGGAAGATCTCACTTTCTTAGTCTCTCCTTCTCTGTAAATTTACCTTCCCAATAATAAAAAAAATTTTTTAAATAAATGACACTTCTATTAATAAAAATATTTTACTTGGATTACACTGAGTTTACATATTAACTTAAGAACTGACACTTTTATTACATTTAGTCAGCCTTTAAGAACCAGGAGTAGGGCCCGGCACGATGGCGCAGTGGTTAAAGTCCTCGCCTTCACGCCTGGGATCCCATATGGGCGCCGGTTCTAATCCCTAATCCCGGCAGCCCCGCTTCCCATCCAGCTCCCTGCCTGTGGCCCGGGAAAGCAGTGGAGGACGGCCCAAAGCTTTGGGACCCTGCACCCTCGTGGGAGACCCGAAAGAGGCTCCTGACTTCGGATTGGTTCAGCTCCAGCCATTGTGGCCACCTGGGGAGTAAATCATTGGACAGAAGATCTTCTTCTCTGTCTCTCCTCTCTGTATATCCGCCTTTCCAATAAAAATAAAATAAATCTTTAAAAAAAAATAGTAAGAACCAGGAGTAATTTTCCATTTTTTCAAGTCTTCCTCTGAGTCTTTTAGGTGCATCCAAAAATTATTCTAACACTCAAGACAGGTCTGGGTAGCCCTTAGACCTGACGGCCAGCAGATCAAGAACTCTAGTAGTGGCATGTCAGACACCATTTTGTATAGTGTGACAAAAGTTTTAGGCCTGCAGGGATGACAATGAGCTATGCATGTGCTGAGCTCAGCAAGAACTCACTGAGTTGTACAGATATCGGTGCATCCTCAACACAGTATCGCAAGAGGTGGAGACTAGTGAGCCAGGAGCTAGGGCTAAAGAGACCATGGTAGAAATCTAACATAAGAACCTAGAATCTGGAACTTGCTGGAAGGAGTAGCACAAGTGACTACAAAGAGCCATATGCCAACTGCAATAAGTAAAATCAAACTGTAGACCTGTGGGTGACACAGCTTAGAAACCTGCCCCAAGGAGAAGATTCTGCTAACCAGAACTACAATGACCAAGAACAAAAGAAGAGACAGAGACACAATGAATATTACTGAAGACTGCCCTGCAAAGGAGCAAAACCCTATGCAAACTTCAGAGTTAACTGAGGAAGACATTGAGAAAATGGGAGATACAGAATTCAAATGCTTGTTAAAAAGCTTCTTATCAACAATAAGTACATAAGGCAGGCATTCAAGGAATTTAAGGACTATGTCACACTGGAAATGAATCAAATGAAACTGTGCTCTGGAGATTATCATATCCAGATGTGAGGATACAATGCAATATGCATCTCTATTTTCAGATCAAAGATAGACTCTCAATGAAACTGTTAACTGTATCTTGACAATAGGATGCTGGATTCTCTGCCATTGTCCATGCCCGCAATAATGAACATACGACTGTAAGAACTATACTATAGCAATGATATAGTGGAACTCAGTGAGGCGGGAGGGAATTGGGGAGGGGATAAGGGAAACTGTATCATATAATGATAATAATAAAAAGAAGTAAAATTTTAAAAAAATTGTTCGACCCAGTGCAGTAGTCTAGTAGTTTAAGTCCTTGCCTTGAACACACTGGGATCTCATTTGAGTGCTAGATCTTATCCCAGCTGCTCCACTTTCCTTCCTAATCCCTTCTTGTGGCCTGGGAAAGCAGTTGAGGACGACCCAAAACCTTGGGACCCTGCACTGGTGTGGTAGATGCAAAAGAAGCTCCTGGCTTCAGATCAGCTCAGCTCCGGCTATTTGGCCACTTGTGGAGTGAATCAGCAAATGGAAGATTTTCTTCTCTGTATCTCCATCTGTCTTTCCAATAAAAAAAAGTTAAAAAAAATGTTAAAAATGTTAAAAAATTGTCTAACCTAAGGAATTTTCATACCATCAATTTGCACTTGGAATGTAGAGTTCACAGGTTGTCCTGCGCTTCTCAGTTATTTCTAGGGGAAGAGAGGCAGTCTCCCACACCAATTTGAACAAACAATTGCTTTCTAATTTTCTCTTTGGATTTTATTTCCTCTTGTCCATTTTTGTGTTATAGGGGGTGGGGAGATGGATGGGAGTGGTTTACAAGAATCTCAATCAAATTGATATAGATAACATGCTCTAGAAACATCAGAGATAGCTTTTTCTCACAGTGGAATAGAATTTTGATTCCTCTTTTTTTTTTTTTTTGCATGACTCTTAAAGTTTACTCCCTTAGATCATAACTACAAGTTGGGCAAGCAGTGCTTTCTCGGCCACAAGTATGAGAGATGGACAAAATAATCTAACTGGAATTGCATTGCTATTAAAGTGGCAATGGGACCTGGAACAATGGCTCAAGTGCCAGTATCCCATACAGGCAGTAATTTGTGTCTTGGCTGCTCTACTTCTTATCCAGCTCCCTGTCTGTGGCCTGGGCAGGGAGTAGAGGATTGCCCAAAATCTTGGGACCCCGCACCCACATGGAAAACACAGAAGCTTCTGGATCTTGGCTTCAGATCTGTGTAGCAATTCCAGCTCAGGAATGCTGAATTGAGTCTTTTCACATTAGATCATAAACCTAATTCTCCCCACACATCCCGCGTTCGGAAGGATGGGAGAATGCCAACACCCAGTTGATTGAGTAGTAGCAAGCAGCAAAGGAAGCAGTGTACTAAACAGTCTCAAAACTACGATTTAACATGGTTCCCTAAAGTCATTAAGTCAACTGATAAATTACTAACTAGCGCAAAAAAGAAATCTGCTTGCTTATGATTATCATACACCATTCCCAGCCTATAAAGTTTCACTCCACCAACACTTTTTTTTTTTTAAGATTTATTTGTTTTTATTGGAAAGTCAGATTTAAAGAGGAGAGAGACAGAAAGATCTCCCCTCTGTTGGTTCACTCCCCAAGTGGCTACAAAGGCTGGAGCTCAGAAAGTCTGAAACCAGGAGCCCAGAAATTTTTCCCGGGTCTCGCATGTGGGTACAGGGTCCTAATGCTTTGGACCCTCCTCAATTGCCTTCCCAGGCCACAAGCAGAGAGCTGGATGTTACTCTGCAACTCCTTATTAACTCCCTATTATGTGCCCCAATTCTAGCAACTGGGAACATGTGGGTGTGAAAAATATGCTATGGAAATATCAAGCATATATAACAAAACAGAAAATTAAGCAAGTATGATCTGAATATGATGAGTATTTCCATAGGGAAGCATGGGGAGCTACAGGAATTACCAAGCTAGGGAGCTAGCTAGAAATTATCAAAGCTGGGAGGATAAGCAAGAGTGAGAGCGCCCCTTCCAGGAACTGCAACACAGTGAGTGTGGTGCTGAGAAGAGCAGCGGTGTTCCACTGAGCCACCTCACAACTCAAGTCCTCAGCTTCAAGGACATAGAAAGGCTTTAAGCCAGAGTGTGATACAACCACATTCGCATTTTAGACAAATCCAAATAACTAAGCGCAGCAATTAAGGAGCACCAAGTGGGTCAGGATTGCACAACAGCAGCCTTAAGGACAATATAGTCGAGACTGCAAGGAACCCTCAAGAACTCTAAAATCTGAAGGCTCAGACAGTCTAATCCCTTCTACTTCCTAATGGGTTACGGTAAGCTGGAAAGAAGTTTTAAATCTTAACGAGTCAGTTTTAAAACAGGCATCTGGTCCTGCCTGTAGCTTTCTGCTAATGCTCCAGGGGTAGCAGGTTTCGACTCAGGTCCCTGACCCCACATGGAAGACCTGGATTGAGTTCCCAACTCCTGACTTTGGCTCTAGCTGTCACAGGCATTAGGGAGTGACCCGTCAAAGGGAACTGTCTTTTGGCCCATATTGGACCCCAGCACTTGCAAGGGGAGAGAATTAGACAATTGAGCCATCATGCTGGGCCTGGGAGCTGTCTCTCAAATGAACATACTAGAAGACAGATAAGGGCCTGGCACAATCACCCATTGACTCAATGGCTCAGTCCTCGCTTTGCATATGCCAGGACCCCATATGGGCACCAGTTTATGTGCTGGATGCTCCACTTTCCATCAAGCTCCCTGCTTGTAGCCTGGGAAAGTAGTAGAGGCTAGCCCAGGGTCTTGGCGATCCTGCATCTGTGTGGGAAACCCAGTGCAGGCCCAGCAGAAGCTCCTGGCTCCTGGTTTCAAATTGGCTCAGCTCTGACTGTTGCAGCCACTAGGGAAGTGAACCAATGGATGGAAGATATTTCTGTGTCTCCTTCCCTCTGTAAATCTGTCTTTTAAATAAATAAATAAATCTTCCCCCCCAAAAAAATCAGTGACTGGAAGGGAAGCTTTGAAATATACCTGAAAAGCTTCAAATGTCCAGCAAAGGAATTAGAAATTTTTCCAAATTGTCAGTTTCTAAATAAAACAACACACTTCAGTGACAGCATGATGGATAAATTAAAAAGACCGAAGACTGGACTTAAGCAAGACATTTAGTAGCCATTTATTAGCATTTCCTCCAGGCTCCAAGAGCTGCTGTGTAAATAACAGACCAGGGGAACAGATCTGGCTATTGGGACAAAAGAAAACAAAGCAAGCTGAAAGGACTGCCTACCTGAAGGGAACAATACACAGGGCGAGCTCAAGGATGACAGAACTAGCTACGTGACATGAAATAAGCTGCAAACAGGAAATTATAAATGCCATCATTACATACACAATTTCTCTGTGGTATACATTCACATCTCAAGGTGCTGATGGCAGACCTCCACTAATTTTTGAGCTATCTGCTACCCCATAATGTACAAAAGACATGAAAATAAGCATCTGAAAGTACTCAGTGTGAGCTAACAATTGTTTTCCTTCCCTCTGTTAAATTTAACAAGCAGAAATAAACGCCAAGATGAATACAGAATGGATATCAGAGGCCAGGTGTAGTAATAGCATGCTAATTATGCAGGAGAATGACACTTCTAGGATCATTTGATATTCACGGGCGCAATGTGATAGGCACAACTTAGTAAAAGGTATAAAACCAGAAAATAAAGACAGAGCAGGTATCCCATGCATAAACTAGCTCAAGATGGCCAAATGCTAACAGTTGACTTGAGGTGTGAATATATGTGTAACAACATTATACTTTCAACTTTGCAAAACACAATATCAAAAAAGTGTTTCAATCAACCACATGTAACAAAAGCAAAGTCACCCAATACCTTAAAGTCACCAGGTCAGTGTCCTCAGGGATGACTTCCGGATCGTCGCCTTCCGCAAAGCATTTCAGCATATCGAGGCTGGAACACAAAAGGAAAAGCAACGCCTTAACGTCGCCCAGGCAGCCTGGCCATTGCCAGCTGGGGCTGCCTCCTAAACACAAAACTGAGTAATTCCGAAGTCACACAAAATCCAGGAGGTGGCTCAGAGAGAAGGTTGGCCAACTCAAGGCACTGATTTCCGTGCCGTTACTTTATATTGGAAGGGATACGCGGCCGATGGAAGACGGCCACTACTGTTAAACAACGAGAGATGATCCGATGTTTTATTTTGACATTTGTACCCCCAAACAATCCAGTAAAAGCATTCCCTGGAGGTAGTCCCAAAGACCCCGGGTGAGCGAGAAACCTCCGAGTCTCCTCCGGCCTCTCCATTCCTCTGCGCCTCCATTACCAAAGTGTCAATGGCAGCGACACGTCGCTGATACCGTCTCTGCATTACAAGCACTTTATACACGGGCAAATGGAAACAGCCGTGTCTGCAGCTGTCTCCTTCCTTCACTCCAACTCTGAGCCTTCGATACAGGGACCCGTCCCCAAGTTCCGGGAAGCTTGGGAAGAGCAGGTCCTCGCACGCCGGGTCTGACCCACAGGCCCTGCCGGGAGCAGTCCCCGGGGAGCTCGGCTGCACCCCCACCTCGTCCCGCACTCACCTGCACACTGCCCTCAGCTCGGCCGCCTTCTCCAGGCTGCAGTCCAGATCCCGGGCCATGGCGGCATCCCCGGGGTCGGAGTCACCGTTCCCTGAGCGCCCCGGCAGCTCCGCTGCTCCCGGCTCCTTTAGCGATAAGTCCCCGGCCCCACGCAGCCGGCCACGCCACAGATCTCCAAAGGCGCCCACATGGAAAGCGCGCGTGTTAACCTCGGGAACCTCGTACTCGGGAAGGTTAGAGTCACCACTGTCGGGTACCGGATTCAGGCTGGAGCCCACCCAGCTACATGCTGGGCCACCCCGGCTGTCTTCAGCCATGTTCGCCTCCACTCCTTTTCCTTCTGCAAAGCCTGGTGAGCAAGGTCTCGCGGAGCGTGACGGGACTTGTAGTCGCGTATGGCCCCTGGCTGACGAACGACAGGGCGGCGGGGGCGGGGCTTCAGAAACTACATTTCCCGGCAGGCCCAGGGCTAGGCCCACTCGGGTGCGGTCGCCCGAGCTTCCGCGTCCCGGCCTGAGCGCATTGTTCTCGGGCTGGGAGTTGTGGGTCGTGGCTGCGGGTCTTGTTCTTGACGGGACTGGTTGGCTGGGGCGTCTGCCTCGCCACGCCCTTCAGTTCAGTTCCTGGCTTCCTGGGGTTTAAAAGTGCAGGACTTTTAATTGTCTTACCTATCTTCCTGTAGCGCTTGAACCTTTTTACCCTAATAACGTCAAGATTGTCAAAAATAATAAATTAAAAAAAAAAAAGTGCAGGACTTCTTGATTCTGGGCTTTCTGGGCCTCCGTGGCTGCGTGACCGTCTTCCTGTTCAGGGCCTCTGGGTTTCTCAGAACCTCCCCAGAGCCCTGGCTCCTGTGTAAACACACACAGGCGTGGCTGTCAACACGCACGGCCTTGATTATGGAGCCCCCGCTGTGTATCTCATAATGTATGTCGTTAGCCCTAAGGGTGTATGTTTATATTTTTTTCTTAACACCACACCTTTTCCAGGTTGGGAGTTGATCCCCATTGTTCCTGGCTGGAAACAGTAAATTTGGAGCTCACCTGGGGTAGTCTCATTTGGAGGCCCCCAAACGGAGCAAGACTGGCTGTTTATTAAGTTCTAATCACATACAACGTGTTTTACCCACGGGGAGTGTTCTTCAGTGATTTTTAGGATAATCAGAGCCGGGCATCCATCAACACAGTTTTAAAGATTTTTTTTATTATTATTATTGGAAAGGCGGATATACAGAGAGGAGAGACAGAGAGGAAGATCTTCCGTCCGATGATTCACTCCCCAAGTGAGCGCAACAGCCGATCTATGCCCATCCGAAGCCAGGAGCCTCTTCCAGGTCTCCCACGCGGGTGCAGGGTCCCAAAGCTTTGGGCTGTCCTCCACTGCTTTCCCGGGCCACAGGCGGGGAGCTGGAAGGGAAGCAGGGCTGCTGGGATAGAACTGGCGCCCATATGGGATCCTGGGCGTGCAAGGCGAGGACCTTAACCACTTGCGCCACCGCGCCAGGCCCCCATCAACACAGTTTTAGCACATATGCACCACTCAAAAAAAAAAAAAAACATAGCTATTACAGTTATTGCTTCCCAGCCCTACCCAATTCCTAACCTGCAGGCTGCCTGTAGACTCACCAGATCTGAGCAGTTAGTACAAAAAGAATTTTGTAGCATATGATCTCAATATATCTGGTTCTTTCACTTAATATTTTCAAGCTTCATCCATGAATGTATCATGAACGTTCCCTTTTTGGGGAAGGGAAAATTACTATGTTGTATGAATTTTGGCTACTATGAACAGTGTTGCTGTGAAGGGTCATGTACCACGTTTTGTAAGGAAACCTGCTTTCTTTTCTCTGGGGCCCTAATTGTCACTCTGTAGTTAAGCCTGTCCAACCGCCAGACTTTTTCCCAAGTGGCTGTATCATTTTGTACTCCTACCAACAGGGGTGAAAGTATGGATTTTTTCCACCTTCTTGAAATGTCTTGTAATCGTCTTAGATAGACATGGAATGGTATGAGTGGTAATTTTTAAAAAACAACATTAAAATGTCTTGTGTTTTTAGAGACATCTGTTCACTTGAAAGGCAGAGTGATGCAGAGTTGGCAGAGATCTTGTATATGCCACTTTGCTCCCTAAATGCAATAGCAGCTGGGGCTGGGCTCGAGCCCAGGTCTCCATGTGGGTAGTAGGAACCCCAGTCAGTATGTGAACCATGAAATGCTCAGTCTGAGGCATGTTAACAAGAAACTGGATCAAACACTCAGATTTGGAATGGGTGTCTAGAGTAGCAGCTGGCCCTCTCTGCTCCCACACCCAACACCTCCTTCTGATTTTGCTTTTCCTTTCCTTGATGACTAATGATAATCCATCATGACTTCATGTGCTTATTGACCGTGTGCATGCTTCTTTTTTAGGATTGCATTTATTTACCTGAAGGACAGAGCAGGACCGATCTTCCATCTGCTGGTTCATTCCCCCACATGATCACAGCAGCTAGGATTGTGCCTGAAGCTTCTTCCAGGTCTCCTACATGGTTGCAGGTGCCCAAGCAGTTGGGCCATTATCTACTACTTTAATTCATTGTTTTCCATGAGCTTTTGAAGTACTCTTGAGAGTGAATCGACTGAAGAGTAGCAAATTATGAAAATGTGATTGGGTAAAGGGGCTTGGCCTAAGGTAATCAGCCTGCTAGAGAAGGAACTAGAAAGAGCACAGGTCTTTTAACAAGGTTTCAAGTTTCTCTCAGCTTCAACTCCCCAGCCTTGACAAGAAGAATGCCAGTGTACTTCTGCTACATGCGCAAATTTCATCTCCTGCTTTTTTAAAAGAAAGATTTATTTTTTATTGTAAAGTCAGATATGCAGAGAGGAGGAGATACAGAAAGGAAGCTCTCCATCCAATGATTCACTCCCCAAGAGACTGCAACCGCCAGTGCTGCGCTGATCTGAAGCCAGGAGCCAGAAACTTCTTTCCGGGTCTCCCACATGGGTGCAGGGTCCCAAGGTCCTAGGCCATCCTTGACTGCTTTCCCAGGCTACAAGCAGGGAGCTGCATGGGAAGTGGAGCTGCTGGGATTAGAACTGGTACCCACATGGGATCCTGGCATGTTCAAGGCGAGGACTTTAGCTGTTAGGCCATGCCGCCGGGCCTGATCTCCTGCTTTTGAGAAAAGAGCAGAATGACTTTGCACCTGTTGTTTTTCTTTTCTTTCTTTTTTTTTTTAAAGATTTATTTATTTATTGGAAAGTCAGATATACAGAGAGGAGGAGAGACAGAGAGGAAGATCTTCCATCCGATGTTTCACTCCCCAAATGAGTGCAACAGCCAATGCTATGCCGATCCGAAGCCAGGATCCAGGAACTTCTTCTGGGTCTCCCACACGGGTGCAGGGTCCCAAAGCTTTGGGCCGTCCTCGACTGCTTTCCCAGGCCACAAGCAGGGAGGTGGATGGGAAGTGGAGCTGCCAGGATTAGAACTGGCGCCCATCTGGGATCTTGGCACGTTCACGGCGAGGACTTTTAGCCGCTAGGCCATGCCGCCGGGCCCTGCACCTGTTGTTTTTCAAGTCTTTAGCTTAAAATATTCAAACTGCTGGGCCTGGTGCGGTAGCCCAGCAGCTGAAGTGTTTGCCTTGCACAATAGGATCCCATATCGGCAGCCCTGCTTCCCATCCACCTCCCTGCTTGTGACCTGGGAAAGCAGTCGAAGACAGCCCAAGGCCTTGGGACCCTGCACTCCATGGGAGACCCAGAAGAAGCTCCTGGTTCCTGGCTTTGGATCGGCTCGGCTCCAGCCATTGCGGTCACTTGGGGAGTGAATCAACAGACAGAAGATCTTCCTCTCTGTTCCTCCTCCTCTCTGTGTATCTGACTTTCCAATAAGAAAATAAAATAAATCTTTAAAAAATATTCAATATGCCAGGAGACTTACATTTTGGTGGTGACACATTTTAACCCATCAAAATATATATGTAAACATATATACACACGTTTATTATCTTAAACTGCTTTGAGGTGGATTCTCTTACAACCTACGGACCTATGGCCTTCACAGGCTTGTAACACTTGATCCCAATGCTTCAGTAGGGGGAGCTCTCACTCCAGAGAACGAGGTCACCCTGCAGGTGGAAAAACTTGACCCATCATGCATCTGAAGATGTAATAACATTGATTTTAAGAGTGGAGATCAGACAGCAGCTAAGGGCAGGCTCAAAATGAGCCTGATGGGGAAAGTGATGGCAGTGTGAATGAGGTACAGCGCTGGGTAACAGCCATTTAGAAAAGTGTGGCTTCTGAGATGGCAGGGAGCAGCAGCAACCTTCATGCAGTTGCCACAAGTTTTAGCAGCGAGCTGTCCCAGCTCAGAAGAATGCCGCGGCAAAGGCAGCCTCCGGCTCCATGGCACACATAGCTCTCCCCTATGATGGGAGAGCTGCTTGGCCTGTCTTGCTTCCAGCTCTGAAATTCATTTGACTCCCAATTTAGGTAATTCCACATGTGAAATTCCTTCAGCTTGTTTTCCTTAGCGATCCAAGACATTATTTCTCAAGCCTGAGAACCTCACCTGTAAGTGGCTATGACCCACCACTTCAATGTCAGCTGAAGTCATATTTTTGTGGAACTTTCTGGATAAATCCTGTCCATTTTCATAAGCAGATGCTCTTTTATGATCACCCATGCAGGTAAATTCATCATAATATGTCAAAAAAAAATGTATTTAAGTCGGAAGCCTCCTGCCACAGCATTGGGATAGGGGTCTGAGGAGGAGTCTTGTCCCAGTGTTGTCTTTTAAGCACAGTTCAGAGGAGAAACGGAATAACAAGTGTCAGTCAGTGGGGGTGGGGCACCAGAGGTCCAGAACTGTGACCCGTCTAGTCCACCCACGAGGAAGGAGGAGGGAGGAGTTCCTTGGCTTTTAAAAATATTTCTTAAAAAACTAGAAATCTACTCCTTTTATATAAATATAAATGCAAAGTAAAAAAAAACTAATCTTTCTATTCTCATGATAAAACTAGAGATTCAGAAAGCTGGAATCTGTACTTTTCTCTTGCTAAAAGCAGATTTGGGGAAAGAAGCCCACACTTTGCCTACTCTGAAAGGGACTCCTGCTTTTCTCATTCCAACTGCCTACTAACCCATCTGAGACTTCACAGTGTTAGGAAGTGAGGCCTTGGGGAAGTGGTTAGGGCAAGAAAGCAAGGCTCTCACGGGTGGGATTGTACAAGAGACCCCAGCAGCTAGCTAGCCTCTAGCTAGCCATTTGGGAACTAAAAGTCCTCGCCACACACCGAATCTGCAAACCCCTGATCTTTGCACTTCCCAGCCTCCAGAGCTATGAGGA